CACAGGAAACTAAAAAATAAAAAGCATATGACTAAAGGCCGTTTCTGTTTTGCATAAAAAAATTGAACTTTTTTAGTTAAACTTAGTCACTGTCTGTATCAGATTCTTCTTGTTGCATTTCTGTTCTCTCTATACTGTATAAATTGTGAAATTTATGATAATAGTAATTTCTGAATTTAGTCAAAGAACCAAAGCAGTCGAAGTCAGTATTGCCTCATTGCTTGTTACAAAAAAATTAAATTCACCAGAAATCGGGATGAAAAATCACAAGGAATATTAAGTCAATTTGTTAACCTGTATTACTACATTGTTAGTGCTAGTTGTAGACGATAAAAATGCATTTGTAATGTTGGTACGAGCCCCAACCCTAACACAAAATAGTTTAGGATATCTAATTTTTAATTAAAGTTTATTTTTTAAGAATACAAAATATTTTTTCTTATATGAAATTGAAATTAATATATTCTTTGGATTTGGACATCATATTAACAAAATTATCATCAGGTAATATGATATTAAACTATAAAACTAAACTAATACTGATAGCAACAGTATTTGACTGACATAAATGTTCGAATAAAACATTTCAATAGCTCGTTACGTCTCCCTTTGCCTTGATAACATTGACTCTAGTTTGCATAGTTTTAACGAGGTTTTCGCAGTCTTCTGCCTTAAAAGAATCCCACATACTTTGTAATTTCACTCGTTGTGGATGATTTCGCTATTTCATTTTACCCCATACAGTTTCGATATTTAAATCAGGACTACTGGAAGGTCAGTCAAGGACGGAAATATGATCCTGAAACCATTTTTTCGTGGTTCTTTGCAATGTCCATGATGCCCTCGAAAATATCATTAACAAATGTATCAGACTGACAATCTTTAATTATATTGAACATAATTTTTTTTTGAATAGATTTCTTGATTGCGTGATTCAGTGGACTACACAGTCGAGCAAGTTCGCAAGCACACAAGGCCGCGGCTCGCACTGTAATCAAAATTAACTCGTGAACTTAGAACAACCAAAATTTGAGCATTTTTACACAATCTTTAGAAAAAATCAAATATTTTTAGACCATATCAAAATCTGTGAAGCGATTTTAACAATGCCTAAACGCTGCATATCCTAAAAGATTCTCTTCTTCCCCTTTGCTCTCGTTCTTCCTTCTCTCCTTTCCTTCCCCTTTTTTCCTTAAAATTGTCTGGTTTCTGGGTTACCAGACCTGACAGACTTACAAACTGACACTGTGACTAAAGAGATAAGGTCCCACGGACCGCTCTGACAACCAACGATGACTTGACGTCTGATGGTCATTCAAGGAAAATGAAAAAGTTGAATGCCACCAGGTAAATCATTTTCGAATATCTACTTTTTAATTATTTCATGTACCTCTAAGGATGAACCATGAGAAACCCGGCTGTGACATACCTGACGACAGTTTTACTATATTGTGATAGAATTATTTTATTTTTTAAAATTCTATGTTGAGTTATTTAATTACTATACTGGACCAGATCAAGTATTTTTCATATCTCAAGATGATAAATCTCGAGTCCCTATTGGCGTAACTGCGGCAAATAAGCAAGCACCTCTTCTAATGCACATGGAATATAGAATCAAATTGTCTGATCACGATTGGGTAATCGCTGAGCGTCATAAATTAATACCATCTGTTTATGCTGGTATCAAAATCACTATCAATATGCTAGGACAACCGCAAGCCGTTGGATATTCTGGACCAACATACATCGCTATTCGAAGTGGAAAGCATAGTTCATCTACTGCTAATACCTACTCATGCTCAGGATGTCGAGATGCTTCTCGAACTTGAAGAGTTTCGACCATTAGCTAAAACTTACCATGGACTAGTAAAACCAGTGGTAATCATGACGGTTGATGGAGGGCCAGATGAAAATCCACGTTATCAATAGAGTTTGCTATACAACACTTTAACCGACATGATCTCGATGCATTGTTTTTAGCTACCAATGCTCCTGGAAGAAGTGCGTATAACAGAGTAGAGCGCAGAATGGCTCATCTTAGTCGGGAACTGGCTGGTTTAATATTGCCTCATGACCATTTTGGGTCTCATTTGGATGAACGTGGCGTTACAATTGATGGATATTTAGAAAGATCTAATTTCGAATTTGCAGGAAATGTATTAGCTGAAGTATGGAGTTCAATGGAAATTGATGGCTATAATGTTAATGCAAAATATGTTGGGGCAGGTGAACAAGATCTTCCTGATAATATTAAAAAAAAAACAATACATTAATTGACAAATGGTTACGTAAGCATGGGGGGAGGGGGTAAGAGCTTTGCTTACTTTTGCTGACAAGGGGGATGGGGGGGGTAAATAATTGTAATAAATCTGCTTACGTAATACTTGCACGGCCCCTATCTTCTAAACCGTCAACTGAAATGAACTAAAATTTGTTATGCGGATTTATCTAAGTATTGTCATTCCAGTTGACAGTTTTGAGGATATTAAAAAAGTTCGTCAATTTTAAACTTCAACACCCTGTATATTTGCATCAACAATAATAATAATCGTCTTTATTGGGGAGTTTAGCACAGTGCTATTCTGCTACTTAGCACTAAAAAAGTGGGACAAAAAAACAAAACAGTACATTACAGTGTTAACAAAATTAATAAATAAGTTGTGCATGAAATATATAAATTATAAAAAAAGTTTTACAGTTTAAAGAATTGAATTCTAAATTGAAAAATTGTGCGGGGTGAAGCAATGAAAAAAGAACTGATTCAGATATGTTTATCCAAAATAAATATTTTCATGCATTTTCACAATCGTGCTTCCTTGCTGATGATCGACTAAATGGTATGCCGCGCTTGATTACAAATAGTCTAGAAAAACTTGTTTATTGTTATACAGGGGAGTTTTTAATAAATATGTTATTTACGGAAATAGAACATGATGTAAAATGGCAATTTGAAATATCTGAACATGGAATAATGGGTTGTCCAATAGGGACGCAGGAAAGTAAACGTCAATTTGACATAGACGCCATCTTTGTTTTCTGTCACCGACATGTCATTTTGTTAGTTGAATGTTTACCATTGATCGCTATGGAGTCGAGTCGTATTCGATTGAAGACCGCATTAAAGTTATTCAAGAGCACTACAAAAATGGTGCAAAAATAAAAAACACGTTTCGCGCGCTTCGTGAACATTTCGGTCGCAACAACCGCCCAAACTAACCAACCATCGGTCGTCTGGTGCGTAAATTCGAGGCAACAGGTTCTGTGGCGAATCTGCCAGGCTCTGGTCGGCCAAGGAGCGTTCGCACACCGGAAAATATTGCTGTTGTGAAGGAGAGTGTGAGAGACGATCCGAAACAATCAACAAGGCGTCGATCCCAAGAATTGGGCATTTCGAGAACCAGTTTGCTCCGCATTCTCCACAAGGATTTGAATGTACACGCTTACAAGATCTAATTGACGCAAGAGCTGCGTCGGGCCGACCATTCTTCGCGCCGAACGTTCTCAGATTGGCTCCTTGAACACCGCCAAATTGATGCCAATTTTTCATCAAAAATCATGTTCAGCGACGAAGCGCATTTCACTTTGAATGGGATGGTAAACAAACAAAACTGCCGCATGTGCGCGAACGAAAATCCCCGTGAGTATCAAGAGCAGCCGATGCATCCCCAAAAAGTGACTGTGTGGTCAAAAGGCATCATCGGACCTTACTTTTTCGAAAATGCGGCCGGGGACGCCGTTACCGTCAAGTCTGAGCGATATCACGTGATGATAGAGGACTATTTTTTGCCGCAACTTGAAGGAATGGATATGGACGATGTTTATTTCCAACAAGACGGTGCAACATGCCACACAACCAACGTCAATATCCATCGATTGCAGTCCTTCTTCGGTGATCGCGTGATTTCGCGTAGAGGAAATGTGCCATGGCCACCAAGATCGTGCGATTTGACTCCCTTGGAATTCTTTTTATGGGGATATTTGAAAAGCAAAGTCTACGTCAACAAACCAGCCACCCTCCAAGAACTCAAAAACACCGTCATTGCCGAGATAAATGCCATAGAACCGACCATGTTGCAAAATGTCATTGAAAATTTCGACCATCGCGTGGACGTCTGTAAATCCAGTCGTGGTGAACATTTGAGCGATATCATTTTTCATACATAAATGGTATAAATGAACCTTCAAAATAAAGTACCCAACTTGATTTGAATATCAATCTTTCTTGTTTTAATATGCGTTTACTTTCCTGCATCCGTTTTGGACAACCCCATATTATTAGAAAAGTCATATTAACACGCTATTTTTGGTCAGAGAATTCCTGATGCATTTTATAAATAATAAAATAGTAGAATATCTAGTTTAAATGACTGTTCAGAAAGTATATATTTTCTTTGTGGGTAAGTGTTGATTTTTCAGTACTGACTGAAGACGTCTTGTTGTCGTTTAAAAAATAGCGTCATTAAAGACGTTTCTCACGAAAAGTGGCCGGATAATGTCGTCATTTTGGCGTCTTCATGTTCACTGGGTGAGAACTGAGAACCTTCTTTCAATCTCAATTCGCCCTAACGAATTCTGAATATAAAGCCCCAAATCTACGAATGCATCAGACCCTAGAAACAAAATGGATGCGCCACTGCAATCGACGGTTGCGTTAGGTCAGGTCATCACCGCAAAAGCTCTCGACAATATTACTACATGGTACATGCCGCTTCGTTAATCCTCATTGGAAATCGAATCTATTCAGTTGACATTTGTAAACGGTATATACTTAAACAACGTATACGTGAGCATAAGCACAGTTTACAGTTATTTGGTGGCATAAAATAAAACTGTCCCGCCCAGCTGTGGTTTAGTGACAAAGTAGTGACAGTGTGACAGAGGCGACAAGCTTTGCTTTACTTTATTATAGGGTGAGTTTTGTCGTTTAATTGATGTTCTTTTGTTATTATATTACGCATAAGACTAAAAACAATTACGTCATTCTGAACTTAGGCAACGCACATTACACGTATCGTTCGGCAAGTAAAGCTTTTATTCAGCTTATCGTGATACAAAGCCCGGATTTCTTCAATGAAACAAAGTTTGAAAATCAAAACGCAGCAGTATAATTGTGTTACGATTGTTGAGACAATGTGTAAGCATGTTTCGGGAGAATTTTATTGAGAATCTTGTGGGTTAACCTAACCTCATTTGCGATTTGCTATAAGCACAATCGTGAACTGCCGCAAAAACATGACAATAGCTTTCGATAAAAATGATTTTCTGCATGGGCGGATTTAGGAACTGTTGTCTGAGGGGTAGCGGTAGATTTTGAAAAGCGAGGGTGTGGGGCGGCTTTTGCAAGTTTAGCACTCTGAGAACAAAATTTAGGAGCGGGTGGTATTTTTACCGATTTAAGTCTTGAAAGGTAATATTTACTAAGAGCTGGCCGATACGACCGCTTCTTTGTCCCTAGGATATCAAGATTGTGGAACAATCTACATGAGGAGGTGTTTCCCAGTTGTACTTACTGTGTGTAAGGTTCTTATAACAGCCTCGGTCTCCCGGTGTTTAAGACTTTTGTCTAATCGCCGGCGGCCTTGATATATAAAACATTAAAAGTAGCTAAAATTTATACACCCAGATCCATCAAAAAATTATTTGATTTCTAGAAATGTCTTCCTATAACTATCTTTGAATGTTTGAAACCGCACTTAAATCACCATATCTACTCCTTGCACAGGTTGCTTAGATTCGGTTTCTTGGGTCATAGATTTAGATGACCATGATAGGACAATGGTGGGCAGTACCCAGAACCCTTTATATTTGGATTCCAATGAAGTTTTCGATAAAGGGGCGGGTATCTACCTGTCCAGGTAAAAACTACTGGGTAGAGCACCATGGGCAGTCTGGAATGAGGGAAACATTTCCACCTCATTCAGAATTAAATTAGGAGACAAATAGGTAGGCTGACATAATGGATTTAAGCCTGCATTTGAATTACCAAGCAAAATCTAGGCTGTATGTTGTCATACTTAATATACTCTTTTCAAAGTTGAGTCATTTTTAACTGCTTTTAGGACTCGTCAAAAAGAGTTGATATACCAAAAATCACCTATATAAAAGTTGCATGATAAAATAAATAGTAGAAGATTAAAAATTTTAAAAAACAAGAATGTTATTACACAGATTTTTGTTACAAGTTATAGATACTTTTTCTTGTTTCTAATTTATACATCTTAAAGCGAAAACTTCAAAATACATAAATGTCAACTGACAGTAAAGAAACAAACTTTTGTTTCCAAAGGCAACTTGATATTATTTTGCGTTTGTTAAAATTAAAGCCAATAAATTTTGTGCCAAAGCTTTTAGGAATTACGTTAGTTGTGAACATTTAGGTACTTCGCAACAGCGATCGCGATTATGAACACCTATTTGCAGAATGACTTATACCGGATATCAACGAAATCGTTTTACAAGGCACTATTCATTGCTGTTTAAAGAAGAACCTGAAATTTTGTGTGAAGATATGTCTTAAAACTCAGATTATCCTTTAAAAAACAAATGAATATCGCTTCCGGTTTGACCGGAAGTGAGTATGAAATAAGAATTTTAAATAGGACCCTGTATACAGGGTTATCCAAATTAAGTGTCCACCATTAGTAACTTTGTTATTAGTGAAAATACAAAGTTGTTTGAATTAGCAAACTAGTAGCATTTTTAACGCTGGTAAAAATGAGAAATAAAAAAAAACAATTGTGAGTCGTTATTTTGATTTTTTTCAGTAAAATAACATTTTTTTAAATGGAAACCCCTGTATATTATATTTTTTTCTGTTAAAGCATCAAATTTTAAACAAAAAAGCTTACAATAACTTTTCTCCTAGCTTACAAATTGTTGAAGTTATGGCCTCCAATCTGAAACAATTAAATTGTATCGACAAACTTTATTTTCAACATCAACTTATAATCTTACAAAATACAATGACAATTTTTTTTAAAGAAGATGCTCGAAAACACCACCTTGTTCTTCAATACATTTTTGGGCACGTTTTTCAACTGCTCGAACTGTCTTAAGTATGGTCCTACCATCTATCTGGGTTATCTTTTCCCTAACTGCAGCCTTTAACGCGTCAAGGTTATCGTACCTTCGCTTGTAAATTTGGTTGTTTAAGTAACCCCACAAGAAGTAATCAAGTGGGTTTAGATCTGGTGATCTGGGAGGCCACTGTATTGGGCCATTTGTTCCTATCCACTGATCATTAAAAGTAGTACTTAGAAAATGATAAGTACCTCTGGAGTTGTGGGCAGGTGCGCCATCTTGCTGAAAATGCAGATGATGTCTACTTATAAGATCCAATTCGTCTAAGAAATTAGTCAGAATTTCTGACATAAATTCCACATATCTTTCACCAGTTAGGGTTCCCTCATAAAAGAACGGGCCAACAATTTTTGAACCAATTATACCGCACCAAACGTTGAAACTGAAACGGACTTGTGGGCCTCTTGGATGTACTAACAAAAGATTTTCTCTTGACCAATAATGGTGGTTTTTTCTATTAAACATTCCAGAATTTGAAAAATTTGATTCATCTGTCCATAAAAGGTAACGAAAGTTATTTACATTTTGGCGACAGAAGCTAAGATACCAATGGCAAAAAACAAGTCTTCTCTCTGGATCCCCTGCCAAAAGCGTTTGAACTGGTCGGTACTTATACGGAATAAATTTGTATTTTTTTAAAATCCTTTGAACAGTACCATAACTGAAATTAGAGTCCTTGAGAATATCTGCTATTGAATTCTCACGATAAGCTTCAAAATATCCAATAACTGCAATTTCCGTGGCCTCGCTTATTATGAATTCTTTTTTTGCCCTTGTTTTAGCAAAAACATTTTCGTTGCCCCTAAATTTTCGATAAAGTCTCAGAAAATATCGTTCATACGGTTGAATGCGAGCGGGATATAATTCACTGTAGTATTCTCTTGCTCTCAAGGAGGATTTTCTGCACACTAAATAGCATTCTAACATATCACACTTTTCTTCATGGAAGAACATTTTTCTTTAAATTAATGACACAATAAAGCTTATAAACAAGTATTTACACTAATGTTTGACATTATTTGATTTTATCATTGTTTTCCAAAGCCTTCTAGTTGCGAGTATGTTCAGTTTAACAATTTGTCGCTTATCTTAATGCTGTCAAATCGCGAACGCCATGTTGTTTTCATAGCCGTCTTAATATTATAATACTGCAAATAATTAAAAATATTTATCGTTATTTTGACTTTATTTTTGACTTTAGCGGAAAAGTCATTATGAACTTTTTTGTTTAAAATTTGATGCTTTAACAGAAAAAAATATAATATACAGGGGTTTCCATTTAAAAAAATGTTATTTTACTGAAAAAAATCAAAATAACGACTCTCAATTGTTTTTTTTTATTTCTCATTTTTACCAGCGTTAACAATGCTACTAGTTTGCTAATTCAAACAACTTTGTATTTTCACTAATAACAAAGTTACTAATGGTGGACACTTAATTTGGATAACCCTGTATATTTTTATGTATTTGCATAGAGCTTAAAATTTCCTTTTCAACGATGTATCACAAGTTGCCATTCTTTTTCAAAATGAGTTGGCAAAACAAAACATTTTCATAAGTTTGGGACCATTTGTGTTTTTACTTAAAATGTCAAAATGTATTTAAAATTTTCTCAGAATTTTGAACAGGAAACGGAGCTTGCTATTTCGTGTTTTCATAAAGCTTAAAATTCCGTTTTCAACGATGTATCACCAGTTATCAAAATGGCGGCTGGCAAAACAAAAAAAATATTATAAATTTGCGATTTTAGTTTTTGCTTAAAATGTCAAAATGTATCTAAATTTTCTCAGAATTTTGAAAGGGAAACGGTGTTTTCTAAATACTACTATTAAAGTATGTCGGATTATCTCTAAAAAAAAATATCCACTATAAGGAACTTGTCTTAGAGAAGAAAAGCTGGAAAATTTTGAAGAGTTATATCATGCATTGTAACTAATTAAAAAATTAGTATATGTTATTACATAAGCACAGTTAATAGGTATTTACCTAGTCACGTGACAGAAAATATCTACGTTTTATTATAATTATTTTATTTTCTTTTCTTTATTTTATAAAGCCAGAATTGTAATAATCAACAGAGACGAATATTTCACTGGTTTGCATGGAAATCTGGGCATGCTTTGGAAACAAATGAACGGGGAAGCCTTTAAAATTATGGTCACCTGTCAGTCTAGTTTCCACGCATCAGCATCGTTTATTGTGTAATATTTTTTATTTTATTTCTTTATTTCATTTGAAATCGATTTAGTAGTTATCTGCTACAAAGTATAATGAATTATTAAAGAGATCATCAAATCGATATGCTTCTTATTTATCAGGAGCTGTTTCCAGATCGTCAAGCTCCAGTACCAAATTCATCACCATTTGTTTGAAAATGAATTTCCAAGACGGCTTAATTATTGCCACTGGTTTTTGAATAACCTGAACATAAATGCTGTCTTCCCTAACCATATTATTTTTTCGGATGAATCCAAGTTTACTAATCTAGGGATGTTTAAGCAAAACAATACTCGGTATTGGAGTAAGGAAAACCAAAGGCTAGTGAGAGAAGGTGCCTTCCAGGAAGGTTTTGGAGTGAATGTTTGATTAGGCGTAGTAGGGCTATCTTTGGTCCTGTATTTTTGTATCAACAGTTAAATGGTGATATGTACTTGTAATTTTTACAAAACCAAATAACATTTTATAGAAAATGTAACTAATTACTTAAATGGGCGTTTCGCTGGAAATTGGCTAGGAACCGACGGACCAATCCGTTAGCCTGCAAGGTCGCCAGATTTAACCGCTCTGGATTTTTCAATTTGGGGCTATTTAAAAGAAAAAGTTTATGCCACTCCTCCACCGTCTCTAGAAGTACTTGAAAATAGAATTAGAACAGCCATTGAAAACATATCTCAAGAACATTTGCGAAAATTGCTTATAGAAAACATCAAGAGAGTTAGGTTATGTCAACAACTTAGAACACTTAATTGAATGATTTTCCTAATTTTTAATTGGTAATTCATCTGCTAAGTTATTTGTTATTTAGTTACATAGTTTTTACTATGCTAATTTCCATTATTGATCTTGTTATCGTTAGAAATAAAAAAATACAAAAGAAACGTACTGTTGAGCATTTTTCTTCCGAGAATAAGACGCTCTTTATTGTTAGCATTTAGAAATCTCCGTTTCCTATTCAAAGTTCTGAGAAAAGTTTAAATACATTTTGACATTTTAAGTAAAAACAAATCCCAAATTTATGACAATTTTTTTGTCAACTCATTGTACAAGTGACAAGAGAATCCATTTTGCCTTTTAAATTAGCGGGCAGTTTCGCAAAAAATCTATAGATACTGACAAAATGCGGCCATATTGAATTTGGCATAAATGCCATGTATGCCGCCATTTTGTAAAACAATGACAACTTGTGATACATCGTTAAAAAGGTAATTTTGAGCTATATGCAAATATGTAAAAATATATACAGGGTCCTATTTAAAATTCTTGTTTCATACTCACTTCCGGAAGCAATATTCAGTTGTTTTTAATGGATAATCCGAGTTTTTATAAGTCATATATCTTCACACAAAATTTCAAGATTCTTCTTTAAACAGCAATTGAATAATGCCTTGTAGGACGGTTTGGTTGACACCCGGTATACACGATATTACTTGAAATAGGGCTTCATTTTTTGATATTTTCATATGAAATGTTTACAGTGTGCTGAAATCAAAACCCTATAGAGTGCCACTTTTTCATTTTTTCCACTAGATTGTTTTTAAAAAAAATCGCGAAATTCAACAAAAAAAGTATGTATTTCAAAACTCACCATAAATCTTGTGCGAAAACGAAATTTCAAAAAGTGCGCCAATAGTCCCCTGGCCAATTGTCTTCTGAATATCCTGTATGAATTTCATTCAAAAATATTGAAAAATGGAGTATCAGTTTTGAAGCAGCTGAACCCTTGTAAATGGCTTGAAACTCACAAAACTGTCAATAAAACCGTTTAGTTTATATTTTTTGAATATTCTACTCCGCGATATTCATATTGAAGCCTATCGACTTCAGAGGAAGGTAATGCTTAGGCATGTTACACCATAATTTTTTCATGATGATCACAATTTAATTCCATCTATATGATGTATGTAAATAGCCGTTTATTCTAATGTACAACACACGATTGTGGTCAATATCGGACAATAATTCGTAAACGATAAGCCTGTAATCAATAATTAAAATGAAATAATAGCCTTTATTAATAAATGTTCTCTATCATTCCAGTGATTATGGAATGAAGATTGAAAATAAATCCTACGTAAGTCGTGCAGTGCAGCTAATCGACCACCACACCCACTATAATAAATTGCACAGGTACACTAGTGGTTACCCAAGTGCATTTGAGCAGTCAGTGGCTTCTATGATCCAAGTGAGGTATGTCTCATTTTAAGTTTAAAAATCTCTAACATTTTTACATCATTTTTATTATTAAATAACTCATCTCCTAAGGTGGGTGGGTGCAAGGTCATGCTCGTTGTAACCATTCAAAAGTCGATGCGATGACAAATTTCTTCTGTTGGCTTTGATTATCGACTTTAAAATTATAATGCAAACGAAGCATTTTTGCATAGAGGTAAATCATGTATAGCCGACTTTTTTGAGACTAAAGATATATCGTACTTATGTCCACGGAATCTTGGGACACCCTGCATAAATTGTATCCGCGCCCAATCTTTATTTTCTCTCCTCGGAATACGCAAAAACCAGCTCCGCTAATCAACACTGCTGTAACAAAAAAACTACGGAGCGCCGACCTATACGTTTTAACTCACAATCGTATTGGTTGTCTGTTTGGCCAATCAAGGTTAAGCAGTATTTGTGTGGCTACTTGTTTCCAATGAATCGACAAAAAATAATATAAGAAAATTCCTTTATTGCTATTGGTCCACCAATCAGAACTACATACACGGTGATTGTACGATTATTCAGTACTTCGGTGTCCCTTATTTATAAAAACAATTAGTATATGTGATCAAAGTTTTTGTTGAATGTTTTCTTATTTTATTAAGTGTTGGTTAATGGAGGTATGTATATCTTATTGGAAAAAGTCTGCATACCAGTTTTTGTGACAAAACCTGTCTGTTTCTCCCTGCTGACATTCAGAAACGGAAGGCAAGAACAACTACCACATATTCATGATCCTGGAGGCATAGTTTTCAGGGCTGAGGATAAAGTGGAGGTTTTTGCTGACGTCATAGAAATGCAGTTCTCTCCCAATTATGATCTGGACAATGACCTTGACGAAGAACGACAAATTGTAAGATCTTCAGAGCGAATGGCGATACCAACATTGGTCACTCCTTTTCAGAAGATTCTTTTACGAAAGACTCTTCAGATGAATCTCAGCACAGCACATCACCGAAATCCTCTGATATTCCGTTTTGCACATCAGCAGAGCTCCGAAGCCACATTAAGGACCTAAAGGTGCGTAAAGCACCTGGAGAGGATCAAATCACCAACAAAGCACTGAAGTTGCTTTCGCTCAAGGCTTTGACTTATCTGACGGCAATAATCAATGCAATGCTCAGAACTCATTACTTTCCTAAGGCGTGGAAGGTCATCCCAAATAAGGCAGGATCGATATTCCCCCAGGATTACCGTCCCATTAGTCTGCTGTCAGCTCCTTCTAAGCTCGCTGAAAAGGTGATTTATCTCATGGTCATAAGACCCGCAATCACCTACGCAAGCGCGGCTTGGTGTTTTCTTGCCAAGACGCACATGCAGAGACTGCAAGTCCTGCAAAACAGAACCCTACGCACAATTACTAACGCCCCTTGGTACGTGTCAAATCACAGAGATCTTGATATCCCATATCCAAGAGATTACGTAAAACAACAGGCGCAGCGGCGTTATAATCAAGCGGAATCGCACAGCAACCCTCTGTTGCAGTAGACCACACAGTCGAGCAAGTTCGTAAACATTCCAGGCCGCGGCTCGCACTGTGATCAAAATTAAATTGTAAATTCAGACCAGCCAAAATTATTTCAGTATACAAAACCGATCAAAATTATTTTGTGGAGTTACAAAATAATTCGAGTAGTCAAAGCAATAATGCTTAAGCTATTTTAAATGATTTACTTCTTTTCTTTGCTCTATTTCTTCCCTCCTTTCTTTCCTTCTTTCCCTTTTCCCCTTAAACATGTTTGGTATCTGGGTAGCCAGACCTGACAGACTAACAGACCGACGAGACTTTTAACTAAGAGCAAAGGTCCACCGGACCGCTCTGACGAATAATGACGAATAGTAATAGTAACCTGTCTGTCATTCCCGTGGCTGTCCCTAGCTTGACAATAAATCCTAATGTACCAATAATATAGTTTATAGCTAAAATCGTTCAATCGGAAAATACTCATGGTTTATTGGGGAATTAATTGCACTATACGACTACTTAAGCATAGGTACTTGAATTAGATATTTTTGAAGTTTGTCCCTTGAAAACCCGCACGGGTATTACGTACCATGAAAAGTGACATTACGATTTTTTTTGACATTATATTGGTTTTTTGTGACATAATGTAGGTTCTTACACAGGATGTTAGCACTAGCTTATAGACACGTTGTGAACTCGTTTGGTAGTTATACGTGTTGCCTAAACCTCATGAGGCTTCCGTTATCAATGTTTGACTCTGATGTGATGTAAAATCTGCTTCAGAGATGGCATTACTGGAGATTCTGGCAGTGCATAGGTGCATAGCGAGGATTTGTGTGCTAATAATATGTGTTGATGATAATTTGAACATAACCTGTCTTGAGAAAGGACAACATATAAATAACCCGTCGGTCACAGCTAATAAATATACTTCATTGGCAATATGCTGCCAGTAATGATTTTGTCACACAGCATATATCACTGATTTTATACGCATGCAGACCAATACACACAATCATCCAGATGCTATCTTGCTATTCAACCAGCTTTCTTCTCAGAGACTATAGACTACTCGGCTTCACAAAACGTATGCAACCAACAATGCGTGTAGTTGAGCTATTCCTCCATAGATGGACGCTCACAACGATCCTAGTGAGCAAACGTGGAATGACTGACTGCCTAGTCTGCAAGATTACATTTTATAGGTTTTTTTAACGATTTATAAACTTTTTACATAATACCCGTCCCAGTCATTCCCGCGGTGATTTTCTCGACATTTTTATAAAAGTCTTGATCGCCGTTGAGATCGATGTTGTCTGTCAAATTGCATCAGACCTATTCGTGTTCGTGCTTTCAAGCGCGTTGTAACCTGATGATTCAACATTACCATAGGAAGTGAAAAGTAGTTTTAGTGATTGTAATTTCTTCAAACAATTACCTTCAAGTAAAGTTGAACTAGCTTTCCTGATCATCCTGATTGTCAACCGACGATCATGACGCACAAGATCCCGGATTTTTATTTACATCGGTTTTAAGGTTCATCCTGAATCGACTCTTTCCCTTTTGGAATTGTGTCACACCACCGAAAAACCTGGGCTCTTGACAAAACACTATCTCCGTAGCAAGAGTTTCCAATGCATTGGGCCCAAGTCGATAGCACACCATTGCTTGAAATTGATGTTACTAATTCTTAGAATACAATATATAAAAACTGTTTTACAAAATAAATCGCTACGGAGAACCAAATGACTCGAGCGAGTTCAAACTTGTACTGGAAGCGGATCACATGCGAGGTTGCCGACTGTTGAATAATGAAGAGCAGTGGGACAATAATTTTCTGCGTATTTACCTTCCCGCAGTGATCTTTGGGGGGAGCTCTATCTCCCTCCCCATTATCGAACAAAAACGGTAATAATCGTACATCTAGCGTCTAGTCAAAGAAGTGATACGAAGGGATGTCGTTGATATGCTTGGAATACAACACCTTGACATGGCAATTGACGATAAACGCCATTGTGCTTAGAGCACAGAACTTAATTATATTACAACATATATAATTAATTTATAAACATAGGTATATCAGCAAAAACTGGCGTCAGAAATGTCAAAAATCGCCAGATATCGCCAATTTGCTGGATAATGAGCGCCACTTAAGTATCCAATCGCAAAGTTATCAGTTTTGGTCGCCATTTGAAATCGTCAAATCGCCACTTTGGCGAAAAATCGCCACCCTGGCAACCCTGATCACACGTTCCCTGTCTCCCCTTTAAGCCCGATGTCTCCAGTGTTGCCAGATCGAACGTTACGTACTTAAATGGCAGTTTTACAATGTGCTATTCCGAGTTAATCTTTCCAGATTTCGTAAAAATGCGTCAATAAGTAAATGGAAAAAATAAGAACAGTATATTGCTATATCTACGTTTCCATTTCCCGTAAACCCATCAATCATACTTTCCTAATTTTCTAGAGCTATTGAAGTATTATTATTCGAATAATGTTATCTATATTAAATACACTATCGAATGATGAATCCAATTCGCATGCGCTCTCACTCAAAAGCTTATACATTTGCGACAATGATCGAACGTATATTTTTTTCTCATTTCAGTGACTGTCATACGAAACATATTAAAAATAAATCTGATGGCATCGGATCCAAACGATGTGAAACATCTAATTGATCCGCTCGACCTCCACTCCTACAACTGATTTAGAAAGCACGCGGGTACCTGCGAACATTATTACAGTTGCATTTAGCTGTTTTTTTGTCAGTATTGTGCCGGCCAACGAAAAACAAGGTGAGTTCTTTAAAAGTTAAAAGGTTGTTATTTGAGAGGTAAGATTATATTTAGTCATGAAGTTCATAGCAGGAGCATAAGAGACTGTAAAATAATCAGAATACCGCCTCACTCTATGACACTTTTCAAGCGTTGTTTTTCGTATAATGCTGCCATACTTTACAATACTTTACCAGGTAAATACAAGGAAATGTCTCCTGCCAATTTCCGTAAACAAATAAAACAATTTGTATTTACCCTTACCTGATATTGGTGCAGTACGTATATATGTATCTAAATATTATAGGTGTGTATGGGTGTATAGGTGTATATGTGTGTGTATATGTATGTATGTGTATATATATGTATACACATGTATCCATGTACATACTGTATATAGTTTCGTATTTTAGTTTATAGAATAGTTTAGTTATAACTATATTTTTTTTTATAACATCTTGGCAACGCACATTACATCGTGCTCTAAATGTACTGACAAAGATAGTTAAGTGTAAGAGTAGCCTAGGCTATAAACTTCGCTATCTTTGTCCCTCACCTGTACAACAAATAAAGGCGTTATTTCAAGTAAATCATTTTTAGTAGTTGTCATATACAACAGAAGCTTGTACATCTATTTTTTTTATCTCCTGTGCCAAAACTGACGAGGAATTATTGTACTCGCAGAAATTGAGCTGAGTAACAAACTCCAACTGATCTGTGGTGGTGTCGTCACTGTCACACCGCTGCAGGAGAAATATTTCTACAGGGTGACAGGTAAATAGGTGTAAAACATTTTAGGAGGTGATAGTACAGCTCCTTTGCTATCAAAATTAGTATATAATACCATACCCTATATTCAAAGGTTAAAAAGTTACGGAAGATAATTTTTTTTTAAAACGACAAAGATTACAGAGTAAAATAGTTGAGATAAGAAAAAGTTGGCGATTAAACATTCTTTTTTTGGTGGTTTCAGGTTATTATTTAAATAAATAATTCTCATAAATTAAAAAACATATGAAAACACTACTGAAAACGTATTTATTTTCATTTAAATGTTGAATGAAAATTTTTATTTTCAACTTTCACATTAAGAAGTCTTTTTTTCAAAAAAAATCATAATAAAGAAAATGTACAAATAACTGCAAAAACGTCCTCGTTTCATTAGGTTTTTAAATGGTATAATAACATATCACTAAGTAAACCATTTAACAAAACAATATTACTTTGCTAGAAAGGACCGCTAAGCGCATTTCATTGTACTGAACAGGTAAACCGAGCCTTTCATGGTTTGACCCTTTTTGTTATTTTTTGTGCCCTGTGCCGTTATGCGGGTTTAAGTATTCGGAATCTGTCGTCGCTCCTCGGAAGCAAGCCCTGCGTGTACGTGTTATGAACTGACACAGCTGACGGATCAAGGAAAGGGAACTAACGCTTAGGTTAGTTAGTAGAATATCAACATTTAACGCGGTAGGACGTACTTTTACTTTTTTTATCAGTTTTAATAATGGCGAGTTACCGTAACGAAGAATACGCTGATATTCTGTTTTGTTATGGTTTAAGTGATGGAAATTCCGTTGAAGCCAGGCGAGAATACGAAAACCGTTTTCCGAATCGGCGAATACCGAGTCATCGAGTATTTGCGTCTGTGTACCAACGCGTCAAGGAAAGTGGACAGGTTCATGAGAGACGTCCTGATGCTGGTAGACCTCGGTTGTTTGACGACGAAGATCGAGAGGCAATACTGGAATGCTACGGCAGAGACCCGACGACGTCTACACGAGTTATAGCAAAGCAGCTTGGTTTAACTCAGTAGAAAGTTTGGTTCGTTTTGCATTCGGCGAGACTTTACCCTTTCCATTACACACTGGTTCAAGTATTAGAAGAAGGAGATCCCGCAAGAAGAATTGATTTTTGTCGATACATGCTTCATCGGGATCAAGAAGAAAACGACTATTTAACTAAAATATTGTGGACCGACGAGTCTAAGTTTGACAGAGAGTGGACAACAACTTATCACAACTTACATTATTGGGCCCCACGAGAGGCAAATCCCCACATGGCAAAGCCAAGAGACCATCAAAGAAGATTTTGGGCAAACGTGTGGATGGGAATCATTCATACGTATCTAATTGGACCAGTTTTTTTTTGCCTGACAACCTGAATGACGAATCCTATGAAAACTTTTTGAGATCCGAACTCTGGGAGTATCTCGAAGACCTGCCTCTGAATATCAGGATGCAGATGATCTAGCAACACGATGGCTGTCCCGCGCATTTCCGTCTGAGTGTTAGACAGTGGCTGGACGAGAAATATCCTTGTCGCTTAATTGGCCGAGGTGGACCGACACCGTGGCCAGCGAGGAGCCCAGATTTAACACCGTGTGACTATTATTTATGGGGGCACATGAAGTCACTGGTGTACGCTAAGCCCATAGACACTCTTGTACAGTTGAAAGAAAGAATTATTGCTGCTGCTGACACTATCAGAGGACAACTAACTGGCCGCATCACGCGTACCAACATGAGAAAAAGACTGCGGGCTTGCATAAGAAAAGGCGGGCGTCAGTTCGAACAACAATTGCAATGAATTTTACCTTCATTTCATTATTATATTTTACTTACCAATTGTAGTAACTTTTAGTCAGTTTTTATTATTCTGTAGTACAATTACAACTGTGTAAATAATCTAATCGTGTATCTTAACCGTAGTTTAAAATAATAACTATCCCATAGCTTACAGTTACATTATTTTCACAAAAACACTTTCTTATCAATCAGAGAGTTGTGAAAATAGGAGACAAGCCATTGGTAAATTTACTCCCTATTGTTGTATTACAATACATTATGTTTAGTTTCACACAGTTTTTGTGCACTTATCATACCAATTTAGATTCCTTATGAAACAACGATATTATTTAAATTGTTTGTACGTTTTTTTGTATACTGATTTTTTTGTAAAACACCTTACTTAGTGTAAAACGTTATTTGTTTTTCTTAGTTAAACATTTTTGAATGAAAATAAATACGTTGTTTGGTATTGTTTTCGAATCTTTTTTAATTTATAATAGTTAATTATTGAAATAATAACCCAAAACCACAAAAAACAAATGTTTAATCGCCAACTTTTTTCTCTCTCGACTTTTTTACTCTGAAATATGGATTGTTATAAAAAAATCTTAAATCTTCAATAACTTTTCAACCTTCGAATATAGGGTATGGTATTATATACTAATTTCGATAGCAAAGGGGCTGTACTATCACCTCCTAAAATGTTTTACACCTATTTACCTGTCACCCTGTATATTCCAGCAATATTTAGATATTATCGTAGTATGTACCACTTTGTGCAGAATAAGATTTCTGAAAAAGGTATACAGGGTCCTATTTAAAATGTATTAGAAATATTGTGTTGCAGATGTGTATTCCTGATTTTTGTTTGAAATAATCATACTAACATGAAAAACACATAATTTTTCATTTATTTAGCCCGTTTTAATAGACATTTGTTGATCACACTACCTTGACAGTAATATGACCATTTTATAACGAAAATGTCGCTTGTGACACATCGTTGCATAGAGTACGATTATGGAAGAAAATATGCAGGTTTCCACTTGAAAAACGAAAGTCAATGACACTTCCGTTTAAACCGGAAATGTGAGATAACCCATTCAACTATCCAGAAATACCTCTTAATTTGTTTGTTCAGATTTATTTTGCATTAATGCTACCATGTTCATACTATCCATATTACACAGTATATCACAAAATAAATTATGTCTTCAAGACTATATAATAATAATAATATTTATTCGCCAAAATACAAAAAATGGGCAAATAAATATGAAAAAACCACAGAAGGCATCGCCTGTGTGTGGTTTATATCTTAATAACTAACAATCAATCATATATGTGTATAACAATTATTGTTAAATCTAAAAAGTATTAATGTAATTGGAATTTTGTAGTTTTAGTTTTCTATATAATTATGTATAGTCATTCTCTGCACAGTACTAACCCAGCCTTTCAATTTTCTTCTAAATCTTTTTCCAAAATTAAGTATTTTTATTTCGTTTGGTACCACTTTATATAATTTAGCTGCTAAGAATTTAAATGATTTTTTGAATAATGTTTTGTGTGGTCTTTGGATATATTAGATCAGCCTATTCGAAATCGTGTGTTATGCTCGTGTTTATAGGATTTTTTCTTTTTATTACAATACTTATGGTATAAGGTGGTGGCATGTAAGAAATAAAGTTGTCTTGTATGGAGTATCCCTGTTTCTTGATATAAGTTGTTCGTCGGATATAATCTTGGCTTATGGAAAATAGCTTTCAAAACAGTTTTTTGTGCTATATTCAGGCCAGAAATATATGTCTTACAGGCGGCACCCCAGGCTGTGATGCCGTATATTATATGGATTTCAACTAAGGCATGGTATAGGATTCGCAGATAACTTTCTGTAAGAATGTTAGCAAGCATTTTGAGTTTATAGGCAACATTTCTAATTTTTTTGATAACATATTTAATATGGTTATCCCACCTTAGATGTGAGTCCATAAATATTCCAAGATATTTCAAAATGTTAACTCTATTGATTTTGGTCTTTTGACCATGATAATTAACGGAAATTTGTTCGAAGGTAGGTAAAAATTTTGAATAGGATGTAAATGCAATAAATTTTGTTTTTTTGAAGTTAACTGTTAAAATTTTAGTATCAAACCAGTCAATGATCCTTATAAAATCGTGTTCAGCTATTTGCTTCAGTGTACTCCAGTTATCAGCTTTATATAATACGAGGGTGTCCTCTGCAAAACATATAATCTTTCCAGAACTGTTAATTTTGAATAAGTCATTTAAGTAGAGACTAAATAATAGTGGGCCTAGTACTGTTCCTTGAGGCACACCACACTTGATGTACATTTTTTTACTGTAAGTGTTAGTGATTTTGACAGCCTGTGTCCGACTTGAAAGGTAATTTTTTAACAGGATTTGTGACGCTCCCCTAAATCCCAATCTTTCCATAACTTTCAGAAGCTCGACATGGTTAACCGTATCAAAGGCATTTTTTAGATCAACAAAGATACCAATAGTAGGTATCTTTTTGTTGACATTAGAGTTAATTTCATCCATTGCAGCCAAAATTGCATCTGTAGTAGATTTTCCTTTTCTAAATCCATATTGGTCAGAACATATAATTTTGTTTTTGTCCAAAAATTGTAATATACTTTTTTGTAGTAATTTTTCGAAAATTTTGATAGTACTGATATGGGTCCATAATTTGATGTTTCCATTCTGTCACTGCTTTTATAAACAGGAGTAATAACAGTTGATTTAAATGCGTCATATATTTTTGTACAAAATTTTACTACTATGAATTCTGGTTTTTCATGAGATATTTTTACAATTTCCCTTTGAACATTTTTAAACTGACACACATCTTGATATCATTACTTAATTTATTAAATTCGTACAATCGCTTTCGAAATACTGACTTGCCCGTTATATTGCTACTGCAGTTTTGTAAATGAAACTCTATAATTCCTCTAGTAGAATAATTGTGACAGTTATTGTACAATACAATAAAATTTTCTAAGTCATTTGATAGAAGATGATTTTTTAACTTGAATATGAAAATGAAAACCTAGTAGGCTATGAAATTTTTGATATTTAACCATTGTAGTTCTTTCTGCATAAAATTTATTCAAGTATATATCTACTGTTATAGCTTTATTTTGTAATATTTGTAATTTTGCCCTTCAAATTTTAATTTACTCTCTACGTTTATGCCCCCAAATATTTAATGATTCGATTGACACAATTGTTTCATGAATAATTGTAAGATTCATCGTATTTTGAATTTAGAATGACTAGCTAAACATGTCCCAATCATGGAGCGATGTCTTTATTTGCCAAAAAAATACAGCGTGTTTCCAATCTTCATTGCCACCCGGTATAGGTGCTATTCTTATCTTCTTATCTATTTCTTTTTGTTAATTATAGATCGTAGCAATACGGAAACAGCGTATCACCTGCTTGATGATAGTACTAAAAATCGACCGTTAGTCTCGTGTTAATATATGTTAATGAGCTAATTAATAAATCATACAGCATACATATTGCCCGAAGAATTTATTTCCAGCCACGTAAAAACTTTATTGGTGAACATACTTTGCATCGGTCTCGAAAAAATAATCTATTCTAAAACTTGTAAACATTGGATTTTGATCGCAGTCATACTTCAAGTTTTGCAGTAGATTTTGTTGCGCACAAACTGAATAATCAGATGGATAATTATTACGTGCCATAATCAGGTTTTCCGTCATGATTTGTTCTTGCAGATGAGCCCAAATGAAAGAGAGAAGTCAATCACAGGTTCAAATGATGCTGCCATTGACGATATCAAAGTTGTGATGTCAGAAAAACCAAGCATGAAATCAGCAACGATAGGATTTGCAATCAAACTTTTAGGAAAGGTTAGTAGGCGCTGGTATGAATGCATGAATTACTTGCCAAAAAGAACTTTTCTCGTTCTCTCTTTCTGTTGTAAATTTCGAGCACTATCAACTACCTATTCATCTTATTTTCACTATTGCTGTAAAGCTTGATTTCCTGTATCTATAATTCCATAACAGTAGTGGACCACTGTTGATCGAGCTGGAGACATTAACATCATAACAACATCCAAGGTTATCAACTGATCATCAAAGTCAGGAGTATAAGCAATGGAGGGTACTTTCTGAGTAACGTTTGTTATATTAATGGCTCTCTAGTTTATAGTTTATTTAGGCCTGGATCTATGCACATACTTAGTGGAGCCATTATCAATACTGCCGTATTTAGTATAAAAATCGAAGTCTGGAGAATCCGAGTTCAAAATTCTGGATTTTCTGGAACAACAACAATGACTGAATGACTTTATAGAGAGTCATTTAAATATGATTTTGGATCATAATTATCGTACAGGCCTAAAATAGATGACATTCCGTCTTTAATTTTCGTAAATAAAAAAAACAGCAACATGTGACTGCTTTTACACTCTGCAATAACAAATTTACTTTTTCATGATCCAAAGGAAAAACATAATGTAGAATTTCATTTTGATATAATTATTTATATTGAAGTTCACATAAATTTGTTTGTTTATTTGTTGCAGATTTATTCAGCATGGTTGCTACAATTACATTCTTTTAGAAACCACAATTACATAAGCTACATATATTTAGAAAAACAAAATTTGCATTTCCAAGAATTTTCACTATGCCTTTAATTTTTTTTTAAACATCTTTAAATTACAAGTAGACTTTACATCATTATTTAGTTTATTAAATTCAAGTATTCCTTTCTGAAATAATGATTTGCTAGTTATACTACTATTGCATTTTTGTAATTGAAAATATATACGTATATATATATATATATATATATATAAAACTAGGTGAAAAATTAAAGCTTCCGCCTTTTGTTGGGTACTTCGACAAAATTTAAGCAAAGAGGACTCTTTATACTTTTTTAATTCTCTCTAGCTTTCAATGGACTTTGCCATCATCATCAGGAGCTGCAATTACAATGATAACAGTAGCAACAAAAGTGTAAAATGAATTTAAATTGAATCAACTTACAGTAGTATGTGAGGATGTTGCTAATTGTTGTTTTCGTATACGATGAGGGAAACGTCCAGTAACATTGTGCAATCATCAAGTGGCTTCACGACGTAATGCTCAAATGTTTTCTAAATAATTTTTAATCTGTCTTTAACTTGTCTTGTCATATATTATATAATTTTAACCATTGTACCATGTATCCAGCTCTCACTATGTTACTGGACGTTTCCCTCATCCTATACGAAAACAACAATTAGCAACATCCTCACATACTACTGTAAGTTGATTCAATTTAAATTCATTTTACACTTTTGTTGCTACTGTTATCATTGTAATTGCAGCTCCTGATGATGATGGCAAAGTCCATTGAAAGCTAGAGAGAATTAAAAAAAGTCCTCTTTGCTTAAATTTTGTCGAAGTACCCAACAAAAGGCGGAAGCTTTAATTTTTCACCTATATATATATATATATATATATATATATATATTATACTCTTGAATAATAATTGTGGTAATGATTATTCAATTCTATGTAGTGTTCAAAGTGTTCCGGCAAAAGACGATTTTTTATTTTATATAAAAAAACCAAAAATGATATGAAATTTTTTGTATTCAACCACTGCAATTTGTGTGACGTAGATTTTATTTTCGTTTACTTATTTTTATGCAATATTAGTCTCATAGCTTTATTTTGCAGGACTTGTAATTTTGAAAATACAGCTTTATTGACAGTGAACAAGATAGTTAAACAATATAGTAAATGTAGTAGAAAAATTGTATTAAAAACTATTTTTTTTTGGAATATGTACAAGACTATGAGAAGCCCTATAAAAGTAATTTATTGGAAATTTTTAAAATAATGTATCCATAGTGATCCTCAAACCCCAGTTTCCTATCAGTATATACCTAAATATTTAATTGATTCAACATTTTCAATTATTTCACCATTTATGCTAACTGTGTGAGTATTTTCATTTAGGTATTTCCCTAGTAGTATACATTTTGTTTTAGATTTTATTTACATTTAACCAATTTTTGTCAGAATTCACCATTTCTAAAGCAGTGTCTATATTTTCAACCGATATGTATATTAATATATCATCAAATATCCGAATTTTACAATAATCTAAAATATTATAAATGTCATTAATGTATAAAATAAATAGTAGTGGACTTAGTTTACTGCCTTGTGGTACACGACCAGAAATATTTGTTGAGCTTGATAATGTAGATCCTTTTTTGGTTTTTTGACTTCTGTCAATTGAGCTGTTTTGAATACAGATCTTTTAGCTCCATAGTGATGCAATTTTGTAAGTAATTTATCGCTTTCAAATGCCAAAAACACTGTCACAGTATGTTTCCTTTTGTCCATATATCTCCTCCAGTCCTCTAAAATATTGACGTTTCAGTTGAGTGTTTCTTCCTGATTCCAGCTTGAAATTTGGTTAAAATTTCATTTCCTCGATAAATTCGGTGATCTGTTCATTTCTTCAAAGGCTTACAACTCAGAATTCTTAACTTCCGAAACAGGAGCAAGAAGGAAATGTTTCAACATCTAATAATTCAATTTACTAATTATTTACTAATTATATAAGACTCACGTGCATGCAGGGAATAAAAGCAGTACAGTTTGAAAACTACTGCTTTTTTGCTTAGGAAATATAATTAGTATGAAATATTTGACAAACTGAGAGAATATCTAGTTTTGTTATGATATATTTTGTAATAGTAAAGGTGCAAATAAAAGTAAAGCTATTATAAAGAATAATGAGTAATGACGTAATGATTGCTATTACAAAACTCTTACTATAAGTAAGTTAAATGACATTGAGTATTGACGTCAACATTAAAAAAAGCAATAAATGAACCTTACTGCCTTTTACGACAGAATAGGAATAAGCTATAGGAATGAAATAATTAATGTCAAAATCAAACAAGCTATTCTATCAAAAAACCATAATCTTTGAGTTCGTTGTGAATGTTTTGTTGGATAATTTTTAAAATCTTTTCAGCTCGCGCCACTTCTTTTGGGATACATCTTCTGTTACATCAACTTATCGCTGACTTTACCTGTGGTGATAATAATCAGTTTGATGTGGCTGGAGCACAAAACAGCGAAAGTATCACAAAGAATCAGGAACAAATCGAAGGCCACTTCGATGAGTCGGCATGATGTCTTGAAAGTAGTACCCGAGTTACCACCTTGGGTATGGAACTGTGTTTGAGAGATTAGGATGAATTTTATTCATATGTAGATTTTCAGGTACTATTTCCTGATCGGGAACGAGCAGAATGGCTGAATGAGGTAAGTAAACAGTGCCATGATGAAGTTATCATTCCGTGAGCATTCTGAGATGATCCTTGATTCTATGGTTTTGAGGATTTTTTTCCTAGAAACTTCTCAAAATTCTCCAAATGTATAGCATTCAATGTTTTAATATTTTCAAAATTCTGAGAATTAATGGATTTTGTTGAAAATCTATTATAAGATGCACTTAAAATATGTTTTGTTTTTGCAGATCATTGCACAGTTATGGCCCAGTATAAGCAGCCATTTGGTGAAACGCTTTCGGGGACCTTTACAAACAAACGTCAGAAAGAAATTCGACTCCTTCCGATTTGAGAACGTGGATTTCGGACCATCGGTAATGCATAATTGATACAGGGAAAACCAAATTTGTCTGGCGATGATCCGGAATCGACAGATTCGACACGAATCACAATTCAAAAATATAGACACTCAAAATAAAAACATTATTTGGGCGTAGCGAATAAAATAAGGTATATTTTCAACATGCATCTTAATTCCAGGAATCGGTGTGAAACACTGACAACGCGCCACGTTGCTAGGCATCGCGGTGATGAGCGTCGCTATCCAGCTGGCTTCTATCTCTTTCTGACATACAGTAGAGGACAAAAGTTTGGAAACATTCTTAGTAATTTTTAAAAAGTGCGCTAATTTTTCTTTCTTTATTATTAAGGATTATTTTTTTGTCAAAGTTGGGGTTTTCCTTTACACGACGTGTAGATCTTGAAAACATAAGCAATTTTTCTTAGTACCATATACACCAATGTCTTAAGGGAACCGAGATAAAGGGCTCTGCAACATCAAAAATATCAGAATACCGTCCTGTAGCCGCGACCCGCGACATCCCCGAGTGGTACAAGGTCACTGGCTCAACCCGACGACAGAACTGGGTCGGGGGTCGGGGTCAGTGTGTCAGGTCAGTATGCAACCTTCAACCGACGGGTACGGTCACGCGTGTAGAGGTAATCGCGTAGACGAGAATCCCTCAACAAGCACTAGAGACGTGGCTAGAGAAGTGCAAGTATCAAAAACTAAAGTGTGGCAAACGCTGCGTGAAGAGGGGCTGTATCCGTTCCACGTCCAACGTGTACACGCCCTTCAACCTGACGATTTTCCAGCAAGAGTGCGGTTTTGTGAGTGGTTGTTGCATCAACATGACAATAATCCGGACTTTTTGAAGTGCCTATTGGTGACAGACGAATCTACGTTCACGCGTAATGGGGTGAATAACTTTCGCAACACTCATGTTTGGTCAGTAGAAAATCCGCACGCTGTCCGTCGGGCACATTTTCAACAAACATTTTCGGTGAATGTTTGGGCTGGCATGGTGAACGGTATGCTCATTGGACCATTTATTCTCCCAAATCGATTGGACGGGATGCAATACCTAGACTTTTTACGCAACATTTTGCCTTCCTTGTTAGAAGATGTGCCATTAAGTGTAAGGCAATCAATGTGGTTTCTGCACGATGGTGCACCGCCCCATTTTAGACGCGAAGTGCGTGAGTTTTTGAATGAATTATTTCCGAATAGGTGGATCGGACGTAATGGACCCGTAGCGTGGCCTCCGCGATCTCCAGACTTAACACCATGTGATTTTTTCTTTGGGGAGAAATGAAACGCTTCGTGTACAAAACAAGTGTATACGGTTGACGAACTTCGTCTCAGATTTGAACAAGCTGGTGCTTTCATTCGGGGGAGGGACTCCATTCTCAAAGCCTGCACCGATGCTTGGCTACGTCGTGCACGCACCTGTGTTTTTGAATCAAACGGCGATAACTTCGAACAATACCTATAAAGTACGTTTACCTAAAAACTGAAAACGCGGCAACGCCGTCATATTTGTTACCTCTGTTCGAGGTCTGCACCACCGCCAGCGTCTGCTCGGTAGCGCATCAGCTGATTTCATTTTCTGTTGGAGCGGTATGATTTCGGGCAGAGACGTACTTAGCCCTTCTCGTCAACTGGAGAGTGAGTACTTTTTCCTTTATTTTTTTTTTACTTGGTCGCCCTCGTTTCACTACACATTACCTTTGTTATTTCAAGGGTAGTTGTTTCTGAAAAGGAAAACCCCAACTTTGCGGACACCCTGTAGTTTGCTTACAGTTTTGAGGATACAAGTAACAATTTGTTTGCTGTGGTACTGCAGACTAGCATTAAAATACCTTCATGTTATTTTATGACAAAAAATGAGACGACAAAAGTATAGAAACATATGTTTTATTACACAATAAGTCTCCAAAAAGATTTAAAAAAGACTATTTAGCTATTTAGTTAGCATTCGACACTGCCTGACATCTGCTGCTGATAGAAGACACCAATTTTTTTACAGACGTCTGTTGGGATATTTTGCCAAATATTTTTTACATAATGAAATAAATCGTTCCTATTCTTGTCAGTTTCTTTTAACATGCTCCCAGAGATGTTCTATAGGGTTTAGGTCCGGGTATGGCGAAGGCCGTGTAAGAATATGAACATTTTTTTAGTCTTAACGAATGTTGAGGTATGCTTGGGGTCATTATCTTGCTGGAGGGTCCATCGTAAAGGTATTTCTTCTTCAGCAGAAGGGAGGATGCGTTCACTAAGAATATTTCTGTAAAGTTTTTGATCCATTTTTCCAACAATTTTAACAATTGGGCCCGTTTCAGAACTAGAGAAACAGCCCCAAACCATGTTGTTGGAGGCAACGTGCTTAACTGTTGGCGGCTGATTCTTTTTGTGGAATCTTTTTCGTATTGGACGTCTCACATATGCCGTACCGTCAGATCCAGACAAGTTAAATTTGCTTTCATCGCTCCATAAAACTGTTCTGTCCAAGTCAAGCCGAGCAATACGATTTTTTTTAAATGAGAGGCTTTTGCACTGGACGCCTACCAAAAAGCCCAAAATCGACCAAGCGTCTCTGCACTGTTCTGACAGAAAGATTCTCGGCATTCTCTTCTACGATTCTTTTGAAAATCTGTGTGGCTAGCATTCGATGATCTTCATGGGACAAACGTTTTAATGTAGCGATCCAAAACATAGTCGTTTTTTTTTCGATCTTCCGCACCTGGACCGCGTTGCTGTTGATCCGTACTCTTGATATTTACTAATAATTTTCGAAATCACGCCTTTGTTCATTTTTAATCTTTGAGAAATGTCTACATTTCTTACACCACTTCTAAATAATTCAATTACTTTGTATCTTAAATGTTTTGAAAATTCTTTTACTTTTTCCATTTTCACTGATGTTGATATTTACCGCACGCAATATCAGAGCATCGCAGAACGAATAAATACGGCAAAACTGAAATAATAATAATAATAATAATAATATTTATTTACTCAATGTACAAAGATAACAAACAATATGAGTAAATAAATATAAAATCAAAGCAGGCCCAATAGAAGGCATTGCCTGTACATGGACCAATAATTTAACTTGAAACTGTAGAATGCAAATGACAAAAAAGGACAAAAATTAGCTACAGTAGATTATGTATTTAGTTGATGTTCGTATTTATGAGTTTATGAATTTCAGTCCTAGATATAGAATGTAGCCACTTTTTTAAATTTCTTTTGAAACAATTTCCGAAACGTAAATCTTTTAAGTCTTTAGGTATAATTTCATAAAATTTAGGCTCTAAATAGAGATATGATCGCTGCATTATAGATTTATGCGGTTGAGGAACTACTCTGCCACGAATTTTGTATCCGGTATAATGATTATGTTTAATTTTTTGGTCGGTGTTTACAAATTTATGGTAGTGAGTGATACTGTGTAAGAAATGAAGCTGTCTTATATCATACATTGGAACATCTGCATATAATTTTTCAGTGGGATAAATTTTCGGTTTTTTAAATATCATTTTTAGAATACTTTTTTGAAAAACATCTAAATTATAGATATGTGAGGAACATGCAGCTCCCCAAGCTAATATACCATATGTGAGATGAGGCTCAATCAGCGCTTGGTATAATGTTTGAAGATATTTTTCTGTCAATATATTCCCAAGGTATTTAATTTTATAGGATACAAATCTAACTTTCTTTAAAATATAATTGACATAGATGTCCCATCGTAAGTGAGGATCCAAGACCACTCCAAGGTATTTTATGTTGGGCACTCTATTAATTTGCATTTTTTGATCATTAATATTGAAGGAGAAATTTGTGTAATTTGGCAGATGTCTAGCATCAGATCCAAATGGTAAAAAAGTGTTTTAGAGTAGTTAATGCTTAATTTTCTACTGTTAAATCACCGAATAATTTTGATGAAATCATTTTCAATTACATTTTTCAGATCAGACCAGTCAGTATCATCTGCAAAACTAGTTATTTTGCCAACACAATTAATTTGGAAAATATCATTTAAATATATATTGAATAACAGCGGACCTAAGACAGTTCCTTGTGGTACACCACACTTAATATACATTTCTTTACTAAATGATCCTGATATCTGCTCAGATTGTGAGCGATTTGACAAATAACTTTCGATCAGTGAGTACGCGTTTCCTCTGAAACCAATTCTCTCCAATGCTTCTAATAATAGTTTGTGATTAACTGTGTCGAAAGCTTTCTTTAAATCAACAAAAATGCAGATTGAAGGGATTCTGTTATCAATATTTTGATATATTTGATTTACAATTTTAGTTATTGCGTCCGATGTAGCCTTCCCTTCTGTAAATCCATATTGATTTTCACTTAAAATTTTGAATTTTGTGAGGTATCGAATCATTCTAGTAGATAAAACTTTTTCAAAAACCTTTGCTACACTGGATATTATTGATATTGGTCTATAGTTGTTAACATCTGTTTTTGTTCCTGATTTATGTATCGGTATTATATTACCTTTTTTTAAAATTGAGGGATATATGCCAGATTCAAAGCATTTGTTGATTAGGTAAGTGAGTGGTTCTGTTATGTCCTCGGCTATAAAATGTTTCCATACTTTTGTCGTGTGGTATTTTTATTTTCATAGAATTTGAATATTGATAGTATAAACCTTGTATTAGTACGGGAGCCAAAGGTAGACTAATATTTATATTATCTATTCCTTCACAATTTTAATTTTGGTATATGAAATAGTTCTTAATAATGTTATTTGTTTCCAAACTTTTGTCCGCTACTGTATGTGTCTTAAACGCTTCTCCCTCGTACACATTGAAGCCGTCAGACAAATTTGGTTCTCAGAGTGTATATAGTTGTGGTCGAAATTGAAGTCATCATTATCATCATCAGGTGGTATCAACCATCGAGTAGCGCCTTGCTGTTTGTTTTTTTGTGTTGTTGCAATGACCTTTTTGGAAATAGAATTTTTCAATGACGAAAATGAAATTGTCGCGTCACAAAGTGGCTGACGCTGAAGAAGGAGGTATGGTGGCCGCCTTAAAACATCAAATCCTTAAAAAAAAAGGAAACTCGCCGACTGATATGAGGCAGTTGTATTAAGTTCTACGATTCTACTAATCGGACAGATTCTCCTTTTCTAATACGGTTTTTGATTATTTTTTTTCCATGAAATTTTTACATACTTAACTATAAACTTGTTATCAATCATTAGTCTTCAGGTAGGGCTATGTACAGGGTGGCCGATATGTAACTGACTGGTTTGTATCTTGAATATTTGTGAAATGAAATAAAAAACGTCCATTTTTTTTTCATCTTAATCTTTTATTCTTTATGTACGAAAAATAATATCAGACAAGTGTCCGCCTCTAGAAGCCGCGCAAACCTGAGCCCCCTTGATTACATTTTCTATCACTTTTTGGTGGGTTTCGGGAGGAATATTTTCAATCGCTTCAGTAATATTGTTCTTCAGCTGCTCTACAGTATTTAGTTTTTTTTCATACTCTATTTTTCAAAAATCTCCGTAAAAAGTCAAGAGCCGTTAAATTCGCTGACCTTGGTGGCCAGTTGACGTCACCAAATCGAGAAATTAAACAACCCGGAAATATTGTTCGCAAAAGATTCAGTTTCCCTAGCTGCGCGACAAGTTGCTCCGTCTTGCTGGAAGCACATGTATTGTAGGTTAAATTGTTGGATTAGATTAGCCTTAAAGTTTGCACACTGTGACTCGACGAGGACGTAGTGGTCGTTGATGGATGACACGAGGGTTCTCTAATGCCTAGATACAACAATTCTGCTCATTAACAAATCCGTTCATTAGTTGTCGGTAAAAATCGTTAATTCGGTTATTAAACTGCAATATTGCATGACTGTATTGTCGGCGACCTTCATGGTCACTAGGCTGTAGTTCTTGGGTTAACTGAATTTTGTATTTCCGCAAATGCAAGTTTTTTTTTAAATAGTGCATAATGACGAGCGACGAACACCCAGTTCTTGAGAACAATGTCTGGTAGACGACTCAGGGCGCTCCACTACACTTTCACGAACTCTCTCGATATTTTCCGGAGTACGAACAGTTCGAACACGGGCCGACCTTGGCAAGTCTTTAACTTCATGTGTTTGTTCAAATTTCCTCACCAACTAACGAATACTGTTGACACTGGGCATCTTGTCGTAGCTTCCGAATCGTTGCAACAACGTTTTAACAATACGGACGCGTTGTGAGATTGTGTAGCGTGGTCCATTGGAATAAATTGATTATTATTATTATTACTAATAAATTTATTGTTCCAGAACTAGAGAACAGAAATGGCGCGCAATTTAAATCAGTCAGTTATATATTTTGGCTACCCTGTAATTGTCGAATTTTAGAATCCGATTTCGGATATTGCCCTCAAAATTGGCAAACCTGTGTTTGCATGAATAACATTTTTAATTGATCGATCTGAAAGCGCATAGATGAGCATCACATCCTCAGCATGTTGAGGATAATTACAGGAGTAAAATATCATCAGAGGACTGACCTAGAGAAAAAACAAAACAAAGGACACTTGTCAAATATTCTATACCCATGAGACTGCGCTTTTGTTTAAGAAATTAATATATCCCGCCTTTTAATGGGTGATTTTTTTGCTAGTATCTGTTTGGCAATACTTTTTTTGACAGATGACGCGTGAATCGTGTCTTGTGTCATTGTCAAACTTGTTCAGTTTGGTCTATAATTTAACCATGAATCGACTTACGAACGAACAACGCTTGCAAATTATTGAATTTTAGTATCAAAATTCATGCTCGGTTAAGAGAGTGCATCGAGCAGTGCTTCCAATTTATGGGCAATTTGGTCGGTCTACTGAGGGAGCTATTCGGAAGCTTGTGACTAAATTTCGAACCCAGTTTACATTATTGGACATTAAACCACCAACACGCAGACGTAGAGTGAGGACTGAAGAAAATATTGCGGCTGTATCCGCCAGTGTTAGTGATGACCGTGAAATGTCGCTACGTGGAAAATTTTGCGACAGGATTTGGGTGTAAACCCTTATAAGATACAGCTGGTGCAAGAATTGAAGCCACACGACCTCCCACAACGTTTCCCATTTGGTGAATGGGCGCTGGCAAAGTTGGAGGAAGATCCACATTTTTATCGAAAAATTGTGTTCAGCGACGAAGCTCATTTCTGGTTGAATGGGTACGTTAACAAGCAAAATTGCCGCATCTGGAGTGAAGACCAGCCAGAAGCATTGCAAGAGCTACCAATGCATCCCGAAAAAATTACTGTTTGGTGTGGATTATGGGCCGGTGGCATCATCGGGCCGTACTTCTTCAAAGACGACAATGGCCGGAACGTAACTGTGAATGGCGAGCGCTACCGTGCGATGATAACAAACTTTTTTTTGCCCAAAATGGAAGAGCTGGACTTGGCTGACATGTGGTTTCAACAAGACGGTGCCACATGCCACACCGCACACGAAACAATGGCCCTATTGAGAGGCGAGTTCGGTGAGCAGTTTATCTCACGTTTGGGGCCCGTCAATTGGCCGCCTAGATCGTGTGATTTAACGCCGTTGGACTATTTCTTGTGGGGCCATGTTAAGGCTAATGTCTACAGCAGCAATGATTGACGCACTGGAAGCCAATATTGACGCATTTATTCGTGAGATACCGGCCGATATGTGCCAAAATTGGACCTTGCGCATGGGCCATCTAAAGCGGAGCCGCGGCCAACATTTACATGAAATAATCTTTAAACATTAAATTATATCGACCATTCTATCGACTCAAATAAAGATTTAATCGTTTTTCAAATTTTTTTGTGTTTTTTTTTTGAAAATCAAATCCTATACCTCTTAAAAAATCACCCGTTATATCACATACAGTTTAGCCTTTTTTATAAATCAGTGGAATACACTACAGTTGGATTTTTTTTAGCCGCCGAAGATTGATGGAGTCAAAGTTTACAAGCGGTCCCTAACGAAGGATTCCGTCATAGTGGATTTTGACATATAGTACGTATAGCTAGAAATGATGGAAGATATGATGATTAATTTGTTGTCTTCCAGTTACGATGGAGACTGTGATATTGAGTTTTCAATGTCCGGGGCGCAAATAGGACGAATAAGGGACTTTCAAGTGAGTACAGTTTCATTTTAATTGTTTTCTTTATCAACAGCTATAATCACCTCATTATTTTGTTAAGGCTACGTCAGGGTCTCAGATATCTTAAGCCTTGTTCGCCACACAGATTCCGTTCATCCTGCTAAGCTATATGGGCAGAATTCACACGGCCGGATCCCAGACACAGTCACCGACCACTGTGCGAACAAACCTTTAGTCTAAGAGCGATTTCGTACATATCACATGAAACACTGTAATGTTTGGAAAACATCGTATGTTTTTTCAAAATTGCTGAAAGTTTGTCGATTTCTAAAATCTGGCATTTGTTCTGCAAGTATACAGGGTGTCCCAGAAGTCGACGTCAAGTCGAAAATGGGGGATAGGTCAAGTCATAACAGTTATCAGAAATATATCTTAAAAATCTAAGTCGTATACTTTTCAAATTAAAGGATTTTAAAAAATCGGAAAATCTACACGCTGAGGTGATCTTTTATTTGCCATTACGTTACATTAATTTGAAAAGTACACGACCTGGTCACCCTGTATAGTTTGATTACGAATATTGTTTTATTTACAGTTTGCTGCTCAACTACGTCTGGTATTGAAACCAATAATGATCAAGCTGCCAGTGGTAGGCGGAATTCAAGCCTTTTTCCTCAATACACCTGATATTACTTTCGATTTAGAAGGTATATCAGGAATACCTGGGTTTAGGTAAAATCGAATGACTGTAATCTTTATGCATTCATTGTAAAATATGAATGGGAACGAATCACAGAAATGGATCAATAGACAACTTTGATGATGTAAAATAAATAAAACAAAATTTTTGGTTAGCTTATCATGAGTTGTTTAAATACATTCCTCTTGTTTTAACTCCAGTTTGAACCCATTTGCAATAAAATAATAGACATCAACTTTTATTTGCACTACCAGTTTTTTTTATTTAGTCGCTTTTGGTCAAAAACGTCATTAACTAAAAAATAACGTCTTTATTGACGTCATTTTTATGACGACCACAAGACGTCCTTTAAAGGTTGTCGTTTTGACGTCTTTTTTTTAGGGTGGTCATAAATCAGCACTTACCTAGAGAAAGAAAATATAGACTTTTAAAAAACAGTAAGGTAAATCTAAATACTGATAATACCGTAACTTTTTTAGCTATTTCATTAGACAGAAGATCGAAGAAAGATTGACAAAGAAGTTCGTGTTTCCAAACAAAATAACCAAGAGGTTTTTGAAGGAAGTTGAAGCTGCCGAACTAAAGTCGCTCGAACCCGCCGTAAGTGCAACTACAAAAAGTAGATGTGATTTCAGTAGAACCACAAATTAATAAAATTCAGATGGCGTTGTGTCTGTGCTCTACGAAATATAAAACCTTAAAAACTGCAATTATATGTTATCTGACTGTCGTTGTTGAAAGTATGTAGCTAATCTACCGGACGCCAGTTTTCTTTTCGTGCAATTTATTTGTCAAAAATGTTTTCCAACGAGGATGTTTTATCCCCAGGGCGTTCTACGAGTTCATGTTTTTGAAGCCAAGAACCTTGAAGAGAAGGATGTTACAGGAAAGTCGGATCCGTATGCAATTCTAAATGTAGGTGCACAGGAGTACAAAACAAAAGCAGTTAAAAGAGAGTTGAATCCCAAGTGGGACTACTGGTGCGAGGTAAGTTGGTCAACCTAGGCACTTATTTGTAAATTTCTCGCATTTAATGTAAAGAAACACAGTGTCCTGTTAAACAATTTTTTTTAAACACTAACTTTACATTAACATTAACAATTCAAATAATCAAATCGATGTAAAAGATACTTATTTTGGTTAAGACATTACATTAAGTGAGCTATTTAAACATACCCCCGAATTTCCTTATCAAGACATTTGACGGTTGTTTCAAAAATAGGCTTCCCACCGCCGCTCGTGATGCTAAACGAAATCTGGCAACACCGCCGTATGTAATCATTCAAATTTGACATTATGATATTGTAGTGGTTAAGTCCTTATCTGTATTAACTAATTTTTAATTTTCAGTTCATCATTTTGGATCCATATGAACAATACCTTCAGTTTAAGTTATTCGATAAAGACGCTTTCAACGAGGATGAATTTTTAGGAAGGTAAGATTTCTTTCGCACTTATCATGACTGAAATTTGATGATTTATATAGAACCCTGACATCATTTTGAACTATAAAGTTTATATAAAAACTTTACGTAATCAATTTTGTTTTCAAATTATTGCGAGCAGAAATCGCCACCTTTAACTAATTTACTTATAACATTCATTTATTTCAGCGGTTTGGTAGAAGTCCATTCGGTGATCAAAGAAGACGAAAGTGACAAATGGTTCCAACTGGATCATGCAAAACATGGAGAGATCCACCTGCGATTCACTTGGTTAAATTTATCTGCGGATAGCAGTGATCTGGATGAGGTAAGCTTGATCCTAGTGACATTATCTAAAGAAAGTTAAATAGAGAATTCTGAATACCCATACCGTCACTGGAAGTCGTTCAAATTGAGCAGTGTTTCTTCTGCTATCTGCGACGACTTTACATTTTTAATAACAACCAAGTTATTCGACCACATTAATTTTTATCGTCCGCAAAACGTAGAACCTTGCAACGAACATCCGCTAACAAATCATTAATACATAGAATGAATAGTGAGGGGCCCAAGTTTGGACCTTGGGGAACACCAGACGTAACTAAACTAGTGTTTGACTTAGGAAACAAACTGAAACCTATCTGACAGGTATGATCTACAAGTTTATCAGAAAAATCATAATTAGGAAACAAAATTTTGACAAATATCAAGCAAGTTTTAGAAAAAAATATTCTACAGAAACAGCAATCCAAATGGTGGTGGAAGACCGGAGAAGAAGTGTAGATGAGAACGTATTGTAACAATATTTTTAAACTTCAAAAGGGCAGTTGAGGCTATAGATAGTGAAAAATTGTTAATGAAATTACATTCCTACGATGTTAAAGATTTTAGAAAATTGTTTAGTAAATAGAAGTGAAAAAACCTAAGTTGGAAATATTATGTCAAGCGTTCAAAATATATCAGTAAGTGTGCCACAGGGGAGTGAATTAGGACCATTACTATTTATTATGTATATAAATGATATCTCTGACAATAAATTTGTATATATAGCACATAAACATTTGGACACTGCTTTAAAACTGTTAAATAGTGATATTAAAAAAAATATGAATTGGTTAAAATGTTAATAAACGTAAATTAAATACTAATAAAACAGAATGTAGGTCAGTAGGGAAAAATTTAGGTGAAAATACAATTAGACTTATGACTAATGATGAAAAAAGTGAAGTAATCGAATCGTTCGAATATCTGGATATATATATGATGATAAAGTACTGTTTCAAGAGCATTATGATTACATTATTTCAAAAATATCAAACAGATACATTACTACTATATAGTTTCCCATAATCTCAGTATGTATTCCAAAAAAGGTTGTGTATAACAACTATAATTCTTTTACATCCTTTATATTGTTTAACCATCATTTGTAAATGAAAACATATTTTCAAAATTACAAATTCTACAAATTAAAGCAATGAGAATCATTTCAAATGAAAACAAGCTAGGATTAAGTCTATGTTAGAAGAACTACGGTGGTTAAATGTAAAAAAATCATGTGTTATTTAGTTCTCATTTTCATATTCAAATTAAAAATTCATCTATTACCACCACATTTATAAAACTTCATAAAATTAAATAGTCATTATCATAACAAACTATGAACGTAGAGACTATAGATTTTCTTCTGCAAAATTTTCATAGTAGCATAACTAGCTAACTCTGTTTCAAAAGGGGGGATTTGAATTTAATAAATGTTTAAGGTAAAATTAAAAAATCACTATGAAGACTCAAAATGCATAGCAGTGTAATTTTGATACTCGCAGAGAAGAATGTGAAATTACAGAAAATCGATTCAAAAAATGTGTAAACGAATAATTATATAAAACTGACATTGTATCATTAATATTAAATAAATCACATCTACCTGTCCTTTTCGGTGTTGGTGTTGGTTTGTTGAAATATAATTCCTAACAAATGGTTGTAAAGGGTGATATCAAAAACTTTTGAAAAGTTTCAAAGAACGCACACAGCTCTATAATTTTTAATATTGGTTTTATTCCCGCTTTTAAAAATAGGACTGACTCTAGAATGTTTCCACAATTTCGGAAATGTTACAATCCTAAGCGATAAATTGAAAATTTGACCAAAGAGGAAGGCATGTTAGGGAGTTAGTTGTATAGCAATAAATAACTGTAATACTATTCCAGGCTCTAAATGAAGCAAAAGCTCTGAAGGTAAACGCTGTCAACACTGCACTGCTAACCTTGTATCTCGATATGGCAGAGGATTTAGAGGTGAGTTATCTTTATATGATACAATAAACCGCAATCATTGGACATTTTAGTTTATACAAACAAATGGAGCAGTACCTTACGACGGGAATTTTGTCCATTATTCAATAACAGAATGGGGGCTTGGTTTGGCCATCTTAAAAATGCACTAATCTTATTAGTTATGCGATTCATTTTAGTTCTTCAACTTTGTTCTAGCGCATAGCTAAAAAAGTTCCTATCTGTTAAATAACCTTACATTCTCTTCTCAGGTTGTCAAGTCAAAGAAGCCTCATCCGTACGTCCTCATAGCTGTTGGGGAACAGAGACAGAAAAGTAAAGTGAAGAAACATACGTGTGATCCTATATGGGAACAAGGATTTTCGGTACTTGTACCTAACCCAGAAGAAGACGCTCTAACACTGACTGTAGTGGATAAACATTCCGATGTAGAATTAGGAAGCATCCAGTACAATTTGCGAAGCCTTTTCGACATGCCTTGCATGCAGACGAGTAAAGAAGTCTTGCCTCTTTCTACGTCTGGAAGAATCGTCATTTCTTTGCAGTTAAGGGTAGGTTTGCTAGGAAATATTTACAATAATAATGGTGGCCTTTAAATGTATCAAAAATGGTACTATACTGGATTTTTATTTTAATACCTCGAGTGGATTAAAAACTATACTTAGTTATGTTGACGATTTCTTTAGTAGATTGAAAATGTATATTTTTACAGCTATTTAATGTTTTCATTTGGAATTGATTAAAATTTGGGGAAGGTCTGTTGTCGCAAAAAAATGTAATAAAATATGTTTTGTTGAACTTGACTGTTAAAATCCTTTACGTGAAAAAATGTGTAACCTTTAGAAATACAATTTTGTTTTTTAAAGAAGCCAAATCCGTATCGTATGCGAAACCAATAATTTCTCCATCGATTTAAATTGAAAAGGTCATTAATATACAAGTTAAAGAGCATTGGTCCTAATACGATTCCTTGTGGAACTCCGCATCTAACTGACACATTTTCACTTGTTTCCTATCATCCAAATAACTTTTCATAAGTTGATAAGTATTTTCAAAGCATTTTAAATATTGTGCATTACCAATTTTAATGATTACAGATTTTGAAAAGTGGAACTTTAGAAAGCGATGACGAAAGCGAGTCTAGCTCCGATGATGATGACGTGCCTTTTCGCCGGGAAGTTCGATTAAGTAAAAGCAAGATTGTTAGTAGAAGTCAGTCAGCGAAGTCGTTGAAAAAATCTCCAAAAGCAGGTAAATATCTAATAGACTATATAGGACAAAAGCCCATTCAAAAGGTAATTTTTTTTATGCGAGTATGTTTATATGATTCCGTTCGTTATTTCAAATACATTATCATTGTACTGAAGAAGGTCGCCTTCGAGATTGAAACGTTTGAAGTAAAGAAGAACAATAAATATGGTTTTATTATTTTTTACGGTTTCCCATGACACACGAAAAACATAACGTTTATGTGACAGAAGATCATATGCAAAAATCAAATAACTGCTATTTGATGTCGACTCTGTGTTGGAACGCGTACTAGCGTCACCCTGCCACGCCGCTAGTGGCGAGACGACCAGACACGTCGCCTAACCTTGAAGCTTGTATCAGTGTTGCCATACGTAGCGGAATTCCGCTATTTGTAGCGGATTATTTTGAGAAGAGCGGCGTAGCGGCGGTAGAGCAAATTAGCCCAAAATGTAGCGGAATTTATTACATACAAAACTATCATATTTATTTCACTGTTTTAACGTTAATAACGTTCTAAATCCTAAATAGGCAGTGGCTAGAGTCTGATTTATTATCACATTAATAATAAAATTGGTGCATTTGGTTATGCTTGAGCCATCTAGGAACAGAGAAGAGAATTATTCCACTTGCTTTTTTTTTCAATAACAGATGGCGTACGTACTGCTTTCTAACAGGTCTCAGCAGGCAGACATAATATTAGGTTTCTCGCTTTGTATTGTATTTTTCAGCTCTGGGTATATACTGTTTAGTTTCGTTTATATTAGTGTTCTTATTTTTGTGTTGATCATTTTATTGATATATCATTTGCTGCAGATTTTAATATTCAATCTACTGGTAAGTAACAAAACTGCTTAAATATCTAACATATTATAGGTTGATCCAGAAATAAATCTTAGTCGCGAAATTTGTTTTTAACGCTTTTTCTTCTGGAAAATAGGAATAATGGAAAGGCGACAGCAGACCATTAACGATTTTTTTGATAAAAATCCTTCTAAAAAACAAACGGTGAAACCAAACGTGGCCGTACCATCCACTTCGACTGCATCTGTGTCGGACTCGGAACATCCCGAACCTGAATACAGACAAAATAGAAGAGCGGACTCTAGTGGAATCAGGTCTGAGCCTGATAATTCGACTTGCGAATCTCAGGATAACCAAGAGCCAGAGCAACCTGTTAAGAAAAAGACACGAAAACAAATGTTTACTTCATCATGGCTAGAAGATCCGTTATTTAAAGGCTGGTTGGGACCTATTGAAAATGACAAGTTGAAAGCAAAATGTAAAGCTTGTAATCAAATAATGGGTGCTAAAAAATCAGATCAGGCATGCCACTAATGTACAAGCAATTTCGAATGTAAGAACGTTAGATAGCACTTTTCAGTCTCGGGAAGCACGTGAGTTGGAAAAACGGCAAATATTTGCTTGCTTAAGATATAGTCTTTTAGTTGTAAGTCATTATGTAAGTTTTAGAACTGTTGATCATATAACAGGAGTTAGTCAATTATGTTTTAAAGACCCAGATCTCTCTAGCTCACTTAAATTAAAAAGATCCAAATGCATAAGTATAATTAAAAATGTGCTGGCTCCTGTTATTAAAGACGAAATAATTTCAGAATTGGAAAATAAACCATTTTCAATTTTATTGAATGAGAGTACAGACCTGAGCAATACAAGACTACTATGCATTCTTGTAAGGCATATTCATAAAAATTCAATTAAAACCCATTTATTAGATATAATTAAAATAAACGCAGATGAAGGTACCGCCAAAGGTTTATATTCTCTTTTTAAAAAATGCGTTATATCCAATCAAGTAAAAATTACCAATATTGTTGGATACTGTTCCGACAACGCTAGTGTTATGATGGGCAATAACGAATCTTTCAAAACTTATCTTTTAAAAGATAATCCTAATATAATTGTCAATGGCTGCATTTGCCACTCTGCTCATTTAGTGGCGGTGGCGGCAGCTGAAAAGATTCCAAGCAACGTTGAAGCTCTTTTACAAAACTTATATTCTTATTTCTCAAGAAGCCCAAAAAGGCAGTGTGTTCTTGAAGAATTACAGGAATATTTCAAAAAGTCAAAATTAAAAATTTTAAGCCCTAGTAAAACAAGGTGGCTTGCTTTATTCAAATGTGTTGATAGAGTTTTGGATCAGTGGGACATCTTGCTTAGCCTATTTAGATTAGCTTCCATTGAAGACAAAAATCCTGTAGCAAATGTAATACTTAATGAGTTACAGAATCCATTTGTTAAGGCGTATTTAAAGTTTTTTAAATTCGTGTTGCCCATTTTTAACCAATTTAATGCTCTCTTTCAATCAGAGAAAGTTATGATCAATATCATATCAATAGAGAGTGAGCGATTTGTACGTCATCTATGTACAAACGTTATGCGACCAGAATATTTTAAAAATGAGAAATTATATAATCTAAATCATAATGATCCCCACTGCTTATTACCAATTGAACAAGTGAATGTTGGTCCGCATACAATGGATGCAATAAAACACTGATAACACGGCAATCGAACAATTTAAATTAAAATGTGTCACATTTTACCAAAAATCGTCCCTTAAAAGATTTCCTATCAAAGACAACTTCTTTTCAGAGCTAAAGTTTCTCTCACCGGTTGATGTGATGAACAATCGTCTTATTATAAGTGATACCTTTCATGACGCCGTTTTAAAAAAATTTGACGTTCATATTGAAACCGAAAAGGCAATTTTGGAACTAAAGAAAATATGTATTTATTTTAGTGATAGTGAGAAAGAGGAAGTTTTAAAAACAAAAAGTAATGTCACTGAATTTTGGTCGTTTGTAAACGACCTCAAACATTTTAATGACGAATATTTATTTCGCAATATAGGTAAACTGGCTCTAATCATTTTAACATTGCCTCATGGAAACGCTGATGTTGAGCGAACTTTTTCTTATATGCTTGGTTACAAAACAAAAAAAAGAAATAAAATAATACCATCAACTTTGTCTGCACTACTTACAATTAAATTAGACTTGGAATCAAAAAAACAGTGCTGTTTATCCTATAGTTTTAATGAGAATCATTTAAACAAATATAAAAAGAATTTATATAATGTAAATAAGGAAGAACAAGCTGAAGAAGAAGTAATTTCTGATTCTAACTGTGATTAAAATAAGCAAACGTAGGCATTTCCACGTTTCCGCTTCTTCTTTGTCCTTATTTTTTGTTTTTTTTTCTATTAAGATTAAGATATTGGTGATAGTTTCTATTTTTTTATTAGTTCCTAATTCTAAACCAAAGACAGTTTTGTTTTTTTGGAGGTATACTTTTTATGTTTTTACGAAAAATTGCAATTATATTATGTTACTGTTTGTATTTTTAGTAGGGTTTTTAGACAGTGTTTAAAAAAAAAGTAAATATGTAAAAAATATATTTGTCGTTTATTTTAAGCCTCCCCCCCTTAAATTTTAAGACCGTAGCGGCATGTAGCGGAATTTTGCGATACGTGTGACGGATATTTTAAACTTCGCTCTGGCAACACTGGCCGCACTAGGAATGCATAACAAATAAATTAAATAAAACTGGAGCAATGTGGGAGACTTGGGGTACACCTGACAAAACATTGATGGGATTTGATAATGATCCAGCGTATCTGACACACTGTGTTTGACCTGACAAGTAGCTTCTAAACCAGGATAGTTGACTGCTTGGTACTCCCAAATTTTCTAATTTAGTCAACAGTATATCGTGCAGTCTACTTGAAGCATGTTTTCGAAAGCAGTGATTATGGAGGTCTCGTAAATGGCAAATTCTGTAGCAATTGCGATATTATATGGGAGCCCAAAAATTTCAGTATGAATCCACATCGTACTGCCCCAGTAATAACGTTTCAATTAATACAGATGAATATCTCAACTATCCCATTATGTGTAGAATATAGACGCAGTCCTGCTCACTCTGGCACTTAGTAACGGAATTATAATATTATGAATAAGCTGCAAAAATTAAGATCAATTTTTTTTTTTGAGCAAATAGCGATAACATCACCATGGACGCCGGAATGGGTGGTGCCAGCGGGGACCTGACAATCCAGTTGGATCCCAAATTTGCATATTTATCATGACTTTGTTTACAATTTTGGGGACTTTTAGGATCTGCCCTCCTGAGAAAATTTGCTACCGGGCTCTTTAAACAGTTTTTGATGCAGGGTCAGTTGATTAACTTAACTTGAGTTTCACTTTTTAGATCATAAACAGCCTTCCATATCTTCAACGGACGAGAAGAAATCGGACACCGAAGAATTATTTACAAAAAGTAAAGCACAAGGTGTTACGAGAGCACCTAGCATGAGAACGTAAGTACTATTCGTTTTTCTTTTCAAGCTTACAATCTTGTTATTATCTAAATAGTTGTCGGAATTGTTATTGATAATCTTGGATTACTTAACAATTTTCAACTTACAGAAAACCAGAATTGGGACAGATGGAACTGACAATCAGTTATAGCGCTCCAAGGCAAAAGCTGATAGTAACGGTTCACAGAATAACGTAAGTTTTTAGGGCTTTTACTCATAGACATTTAATAATATCACTGATAAACACAGGATTTGTGACGTGGCATTTTTTGATTGTATCTTATGTATTTTGAGACCCTTAAATCAAATCTAAAAACAGAATTTTTCTATCACCCGCAGATATTCGGTAACATCTACTTTTATTTCTCGGCATTTCTCGGCATTTATGTGATCACGCACATATATAATGTTAAGACCTGTCTATTCCTATTGTTAATTTTTGTTAAAACGGTGTGTTGTTTTTAGTTTATTGTGATCGAGACTAGCTTTATGGACAATGCCTAGAAATTGTGTAAATAGCGCGAACCGTTTTTGTTACGTGTGCAGAGAGCTAACTTTTATATCCCAAAAACGTACTTTTACTCCCCTTGTATTGGAAGCATACGAACTTTATTTTGGAATTAAAGTTGGCAACCAAGATAAACTATGGGCCCCTCATTTATATTGTAGGACTTGTGTAACGTTGTTAACGCTATTTTAACTTGCTATTGTAAAACATTTTCGCCTGTACTCAGTAAAACCTGAAGCGCTCATTACATATTAGCCAACCCGATATTTTCTAGGAGGTTTTTAGAACTACTATTGAAAATAGTATTAAAATTTATAATAGTTAATTTTTACCTAATTTTTCAGGAATCTACCCTCTAAAGAAAATGACCCGCCGGATGCTTACGTCAAGATCAAGTTGATTTCCCCGGTGTTTCAGAAGCTGAAAAGCAAAACAAAGGTAAACCGGTTGATGCTGATCCGCAAAGCGCAACAAGTAACATTCAATCGTTTTCTAGGTGATAGTAGATAGCTGTGATCCAGTATTCGAAGAGACATTCGAATATCTAGTTTCCGAATCCGATTTACCAAATAGCAAGCTGGTGCTAACTGCGAAAAGCAAGAAAGTATTTTTCAACTCGGATATCATTGGACAGGTAAGGTTCTGACTAGCAATAGATCACTAATTAATCAGTATTTCTAAGTGAGAAAAAATTATAATCTCAAAACTATCCAGAAATATACTAAGTGACATCCGAACTCCCAGTTTAAATGGTTTTATTTTAATAAAATTTTGTATAAGTACTTAATGAAGCATAATAAGTAAATGATAAAAATTTCAGAATGATTGCACTGCTTTAAAGCCCTTTGACCTTTAATAATGTGTGGATGCACCCTGATGTGCTACGCATTCTCCAACGCGCCTAGGCATGCTTCTGATCAGGTGGTCAATGTCCTCTGTGGTATCTCATTCCAGGCAACCACCAACTCCTCTCGAAGTGCTTCTAGAGTCTGAGGAGGACGTTGCAAATTGAGCAATCTCCTACCCATCATATCCCACACGTGCTCAATTGGGGAGAAGTCGGGAGATCTTGGTGGCCATGGTAACAATGTAACATCATTATGTTGAAAGAAGTCTATTGTGACTCTTGCAACATGTGGTCGGGCATTATCTTGTTGGAAAGTTGGATCTGCCAGGGTGCCAAGATAGGGTAAAAGATGGGGTTCTAGAACTTCGTGGATATAACGCTGCGCGTTCATGTTACCTCTGATGAAGATTAAAGGTGTCCTGGAACCTTAAGCTATAGCACCCCAAACCATAACTCCAACAGTGTGATGAACATGTCTTTCAACAAAAAACTGTGGATTCCTCCTTTCACCACGTCGCCTTCTAACCCTTACACCGACGTAATCGCCTTGAGTGGTGCAGACATCGGTCACTCTGGGATCAGGAATGGAACAGTATTGCCTTTAGTGACGAGTCTCGATTTTGTTTAGGCATGCACTGTTGGAGTTATGGTTTGGGGTGCTATAGCTTATGGTTCCAGGTCACCTTTAATCTTCATCAGAGGTAACATGAACACGCAGCGTTATATCCACGAAGTTCTAGAACCCCATCTTTTACCCTTATGCTTCATTAAGTACTTATACAAAATTTTATTAAAATAAAACCATTTAAACTGGGTGTTCGGATTTATATGTCACTTAGTATATGTACCAAAAATTTAAAAGTTTGTTATGTTAGTAAGATATAATGTTTTTGTCCTAAATCTATTTTCTTATTTTTCAAATTATAATTATAACGTTATAATTATAATATTAAAAAAACAATACATTAATTGACAAATGTTTACGTAAGCATGGGGGGAGGGGGTAAAAGCTTTGCTTACTTTTACTGACAAGGGGGTTGGGGGGGTAAATAATTGTAATAAATCTGCTTACGTAATACTTGAACGGCCCCAAAGTATAAATGTATAATAAGTAAAATATTCATTAAAGACTGTTAAGTCGTTGATTTTTTTTAACTCAGAGGGTATATTATCGAAGATTGATCCATATAGATAGTCAGGGCTATTACGGTATGTGCTGATGCTGTAGTTGCTCAATGTGAGGTTATTATTATTTCTTAGACTGTATATCTGGGGCTATTTTAGGTAGGTGAATTTGATTTCACATTCACACTAAATTGATTAATGTTACGTTAGTACGTACAACGTGCTATCTATGTCTGTCCCAGTCAGAATACGCCTCCAGTGGAATAAGAAAAAACCAGATCTGTCAAAATAAAGCTAAGCAATGGAAGTCTGCTGTCCAGAATTTTCGCGGCGCAATACGCTGATTCAAAGTTGTTTTATGGGCCATGGACGATTTCAGTCGGTCATTTTTCTGTTCCAGGTGGTGATAGACTTCAAGAAATTCCATGACGTAGATGAGCCCGTCCGTGAATGGTTCGAATTGCAGCATTCAGAGGATTCTGACTGACTCAAATGTTGCTTCGACTGTTTCAAATGTACAAGTGCTTGATGTAAATATGTTGCTTGTGTTATGTATATTTTATGTATATTTTTATACGCTTTTCATACACTTTATTTTGTTGTTATGTATTTTCAAGAATGTAGCTTTTTTTATTCCTCTATATACACGGTAATAAATGCCAGGCTTGTTGATTTTTTGTTTTATTGAGTGAAATGACAGCATATGGAGAGAAGTAAATGCTTTTGGTTGGTACGTATACTATTTCTATTCCTAATTGAAATACAAAAAAACTCAATTGACTTCATACATTGAATGATGGGTGTACCCAGCTTAAAACGGAATGGGGAAGCTGCAAAATATTTTTTGGTGGAAGTTCCACTACTATACCCTGTTTATTATTTCGCATTCGATTGTCTTATGCATTTTTGCAGAGTCCTGCACGAAAATATACTCCTTATACTGATAAAATTAAACATCTCAATGATTCTTTAGTTTATATACAGCGTGACACATAAGTTCCGAAACATCTCTGTATTTTCTCGGCTAAGGTATTTTTGGAAAAGATCAAGGTTAGGTCTTCTGTAACATTCAGCAAGAAACTTTACGGTAACCTTAAATTTGACCTTGACTTTCACCGTCAAGGTCAACTTAATTTTTTCAAATAGAAACTCCTATTTTTGATACCGGAAATCGGACAACAGAAAATTTTACGTTAAAACACAATGAAAGTCCAAGGCCAGGATGGCTATTAAAGGTCAAATGAAGATGAAATGTGTGCTACTAGCAAAACCTCTATAACTCTAACAGGATTAGCGATGAAAATAACTATCAGGGTCAGGTCTCTCATAAATTTTAATGAGTTATCTTGGATTTCACCTTGAACTTTATCTTCAAGGTCATTTTTCTTCAAATAGAAACCCGCAGGAACAGTATCAGTTGGAAATCATTTTTAACGAGCACCCGAGTTCCCTCGTTAAAAAATCTGACAAAGTTTTGACATTTATGTGACCTCAAATTCTGATACATATTTGAACATGACATTTCCCGCTTCCTAGATTGTCGGCATCAAATAGACGTTTCTGTTTGGGAAAATATAGCTGATCGTGAAATGACCTTGAAGGTGAGGTTGAAGGTCAAATTAAAGATCACAGCTTCTTGTGCAAATTTACTAAACACCTGACCTTACCAGTTATTTTCGTCACGATCACGATATTCCTAGAGGTTTTCCTAGCAGCACATATTTGACCTTTATGTGACCTCTAATTCTGGTACACATTTGAACATGGAATGTTCGGCTCTCTGGATTGTCGGCATCAAATAGACGTTTCTGTTTAGGAAAATAGAGCTGATCGTGAAATGACCTTGAAGGTGAGGTTGAAGGTCAAATTCAAGATCACAGCTACTTGTGAAAATTAACTTAAGACCTGACCTTACCAGTTATTTTCGTCACGATCTCTGCGATACTTCTAGAGGTTTTCCTAGCAGCACATATTTGACCTTTATGTGACCTCTAATTCTGACACACATTTGAACATGAAATGTTTGGCTCTCTGGATTGTCGGCATCAAACCGACGTTTCTATTTAGAAAAATAAAGTTGATCGTGAAATTACCTTGAATGTGAGATTCAAGGTCAAATCCAAGATCGCCGACGCTTGTGAAAATTTACTAAAGGCCTGACCTTACCAGTTATTTTCGTCACTGTCTCTGCGAGATTTCTAGAGGTTTTCCTAGCAGCACATATTTGACCTTTATGTGAAGTCTTATACACATTTGAACATAAAGTTTCCGGCACTCTGCATTGTCATTATCAAATAGGTGTTTATATTTAGAAAAATAGAGTTGATCGTGAAATGACCTTGAAGGTGAGGTTCAAGGTCAAATCAACGATCAACGCTGCTTGTGAAAATTTACTAAAGGCCTGACCTTACAAGTTATTTTCGTCACGATCTCTGCGATATTTCTAGGAGTTTTCCTAGCAGCACAAACCTTTATTAACCTATTTGACCTTCAGCGGTCATCTTGATCTTGAATTTTAATTCACCACTGTTTCCATCACTCAGTATAATAAAAGCGATTTTATCTGAAGTGTGTTTAACATACGGGAAGTCAAGTGTACAATGATTTTAACGAAAAAGTGGCCATACATTCCTAAATACTTAATACAAATCTCCGAAATCATACATTGGCAGAATGGCCAAGAAAATGCGCTTCTAAAAATCAACAGAAATACAGAGTTTCCCATTTAAAACAATACAAGTTTATATTGCCACTAATTTATGGGGCACCCTGTATAGGTAAAAAGATTTTAGGTTGTAACCCCTAGCTATGCCTACAACTTTAGTATTTAACTGTATTCTGCAACTCTAATAATAACGAAGATATTCAGCTTTGACACTATTTGGACAACTTGTACAGTGAAGACAGGCTACAGGAGAGAGACGAAGCTTTGAGAAATGTTGGGAAGTTGCTTGAAATATGTAAATAGTATCGTAGTTCAAAGTCGACAGTGCGGGACCGAATTAACGGGAAAAAATAGTTTCTTGTTAATTTTTAGGTACCTTGTACGTATTTTTGATAAAAATATCCATATTAAATGGACTCAGATTGAGCGAGTTTAATTTCGTTTCCTCAAAGTCTTAATGACAGCTGATTTGAAATTTCTATTCTACTATCACTAATTTCACTGATCAACAGCCAAAAAATATCCTAAATAAAATAAACAAAATATTACTATTATTACTATTTTTAATGTGCTAAAACCGGAATGAAACTTATTTTTTCAATATTAGTTCAAGTTTTAGAGATACGGTAATTAAATGTGTTCCTGCTGTGACAGTGTTAATATACTGTAATTCACAAGAAGGCACGTGCTACATTTTTATATTCGGTAAGGAAAGATGATGTAATCGGCATGATTGTGTTACGTTATACATACGTGTACATTATATTGGTTTATATTAGCCATTTTTTCCTCAGTTGGCTGACAGCGTTCATGCAAGATGTCTCGAAAGTGTGTAAACAATCCAGATCAGTTTTGTTACGTGTGTGGTGCTGTGACTTTTGCGTCTCAGAGACGGTCTATTACTCCACTAATAACAAAGGCATATCAGCTTTATTTCGGTTGTAAACTAGGTGATCAAGACAAACAGTGGGCACTCCACATCTGCTGTAATACATGTGCTTCAAGTCTGAGGAGCTGGTTAAATGGCAAAAAACGGTCTATGCGCTTTGCTGTCCCAATGGTTTGGAGAGAGCCTACAAATCATATTAATGATTGTTTTACTTTTGCATGGTACCTTGTGTTGGACAAGCCACAGGTATGTCCAAGAAAAAACAAATCGGTTATTAACTACCCAAACATACCATCTGCGATGAGACCTGTGCCTCACAGTGACGACAATCCTATTCCAAAACCCCCAGAATCCTACACTTGCGAATCAGAAAACGAATCAGATCATGGCGATCGAGTGATTCGTCAGGAAGAAGATATGCCATCAACGTCAAGAGATCCTGATTTTATACCGAGCACGTCATGCCACCAACCGCACAAAATAACACAGTCAGAATTAAATGATCTTGTAAGAGATTTAGAACTTCCAAAATGTAAGGCAGAGTCACTTGGATCAAGACTGCAGCAGTGGAACTTGTTAGAAGACGATGTTTCGGTATGTGTTTTTCGTAAACGCCACAAAGACTTAGAACCATTTTTCAATATGGAGAATAACTTGGTTTTCTGCAGTAACATTAACGGCTTACTGGCGGCTTTAAATATAAACTATAACCCAGAAGAATGGAGATTGTTTATAGACAGTTCAACATTGAGTTTAAAGGCAGTGTTATTGTATATTGGAAATATTTTACCATCTCTTCCTGTAGGGTATGCAGTTCACTTGAAAGAATCATATGACAATATGAAGTACCTATTGACATGCATAAAATACGATGAGCACCAATGGCATATTTGTGGCGATTTGAAAGTTGTTGCACTTTTACTTGGGCTGCAGCTAGGCTACACAAAGTTTTGCTGTTTTTTGTGTGAATGGGACAGTCGGGCAAAGGCACTTCATTACACCAGACAAAACTGGCCTGTTCGTCAATTCCTAGAGCCAGGTCAAAAAAATGTACAGCATAAGCCACTAGTAGATTCGAAAAAAAAATTTATTACCACCACTGCATATCAAGTTGGGCCTAATGAAAAACTTTGTCAAGGCATTAGATAGAGATGGGTCAGCTTTTCAATACCTGCGTCAGAAATTTCCAAGACTAAGTGAGGCAAAGGTTAAGGAAAGTATTTTTGCTGGGCCACAGATTCGAAATATTTTGAAAAATACACAGTTTGAAAACACTTTTAATAGGTATTGAAAAAACTGCTTGGAATGATTTCCGTCCGGTGGTCACTAATTTCTTGGGAAATAGAAAAGCTGACAACTATAAAACCCTTGTCAAAAATATGCTGTCATCGTATCAAAAGATGGGCTGTAATATGTCTCTTAAGATACATTTCCTACACTCACACCTGGACTTTTTTCCTGACAATTGCGGAGCCGTAAGTGATGAGCACGGCGAACGTTTTCATCAGGATATTTCTACAATGGAAAAAAGGTACCAGGGAAAGTGGAATCCTTCCATGCTTGCAGACTACTGTTGGACTCTTGGTAGAGACAGCGCATATAGTGATTCTTATAAGTATATGAATCTTGTTACTTTTTTTAATATATCCTTAAAAATAAAAAGTTTTTTTTCTAAACCGCAACTAATTTTTTATTTCATTGTCATTTTTTGATTCAGCGCCCCAAAATTAACAAAGAAGTGCACTTTTCCCACAAGATACAATTAAAAAACTAAAATTTGTTGTCCAGTGTTTTTAAATACGGTTCTGTCTAAAGCTGATCTATCAAATGCTGTCTGACAATTAGAAACTAGCCGGCCGACTAGTAGCTTATGTTCGAGTACTGGTAAAATAGCACCTTTTTGTTTAATATTTTTTTTATAATATTACAGGAATATGTATAAGCAATGCATTTGTCGTCGGCAAAAAGTTAACAACATATATGATCACCTCCTAAAGCAAATTTCAGCAAAACATGCACAACCTGTAAAATAGCACTTACCATTTCCCCGCCATTTCCGTATCGCGGTATCTGCGAAGTTTTCCTTCATTCTTCCCGTAATCCAAAGGTGCAAAACAC